CTAGTTAAAATTTAATGATGGATGATAGATGTTGTAAAGCCAAAGGAATTAAAAGACAAAGGACGTTTTGAGAAAATGGTCTGTTCATATATATCTAAATATATATTTACTTACATGTTTTGTTAGAGACCAAAACTGAGGGAAGAGATTTGGCTTTCTGTTGGTTTGTGAAGTTGATCAGAGATTGCTCCTTGGCTGTCTTGCTTTCTGCATAGGCTGTTAACAATTGTTTCTCTGGCAGCAGATCTTGTTCATCAGGATTGCATCATTTCTGGGAGAATGGCCAAGGTCCACAGCCTCAGTACAAAGACTGTCTGAAGCATATGAGGCCTGTTCTCTTTCTAAAACGGCACTCCTCTTCCTGCCAGTCCTCTTCACAGGGTTACTGAAGCAGACTTGTTCTGAATTTCTTTCATTGAATTGGCTGTTTATTGGGCTCTTGTCTCCCAGCTGCTTCCGGCTCACCTGGCTGATGCAATTTCTTTTTCTGAAATCTCTGTTGGAATTATTTTTAAAACACTGTCTTCTGAGAGTGACCAGACAAATTACATGGGTCTTGGCTTTCAGCAAGTCATATATAGAGAAGAGACTGTCAGAATGACAAGTACAAAAACCACTGACCATTTCAGAACACAATTAAAAAGATAGGGGTAATTATAAACTATTTCTGGCATGTTCTATGTAACAGCCTTTCCTAAGAACCTGTATGTAAATGGTTACTACTCAAAAGAGTGCTCAGTACTGGGAGACAGACCAGTTCTGCTTCTGAATCAAAGAACATACTAGTGTTTTTGTGGATTCTGATGGATTGTTCTGGAAATACTTGAATTGAAATGAAATTGAAATTCTGATGCCATTCATTTCCCCCCTACTGTACACCACTCATACTTATTTCTCTTTTGCCTTGTCATTTCTTATTTGTTGCTGCTATAAGTCTACATCTTAGTTTATTTTGTTGTTCCTTTTACTGTTACCTTCATCCATTTATTTTTATAATTCCTAATATGCTCTGTGAATAATTTCTAAAGAATAGTTTATTTTCCAATTTTTAATAAGTTAGAAATTCATAAAATAATATAAAGTACATTTCCTCTCCTTGGTAACTGAAATACCATCAACAGCTCTTTCACATATATGATATATTAACATTTCAGCTGTTAATACCTCATTCTGGCTAATGTTAAATTTCACTTTTTCCCCCCAAAATTCCTAGATCTTGCCTATTTTCCTTTTCTTTTTTGGAGGGTAGAAAGTTGATTAAGGCTTTATTTTTCCATGTGTTTCTATTATGGAGTTGACCACAAATAGAAATGATCTCTTTTGTCAATCTTTTTCTGTAGTAGGACAAGAGGATATAAGTGGGATGGAGTGGGGTGGGGAAAGTAGTAATACGAACTTATTGGATCATGGTAGGTCCTTGTCTGACTAGAGAGTAAATTTAACATTTGATTAAAGAAAAGCCTCTGAATTTGGGAAGGGGTCAGTGGAGAAAAGAAGGAATCCCTTGTGAAATGGGAGAGAATTCTAATTTGAAGGAAAGAAAAGGAATATCCAGTGACATAATAAACTATTTACTACTTAAGTAAAAAATAAAAAGATAATTTCCCTTTCCACCCTTTATTTACATCTGATTTTATGGGAAAATAGGATGTAAACGTTAAAGAATAAAAAATAGACTACTAAAGCCCCAGCCGGGTGAGTCGGTTGGAGCATCGTCCCATACGCCATAAAGGTTGCAGGTTTGCTTCCTGGTCGGGGCATGTACAAGAGGCAACCAGTCAATGTTTCTCTCTTATTTTGATGTTTCCTCTTTCTGTTACTCTGTCTTACTCTCCTTCCTCTCTCAAATCAATAAACATATCCTCAGGTGAGGATTAAAAAAATAAATAAATAAAAAATATATATATATCTGTGTGTGTGTGTGTGTGTATATTACTAGGTGGAACATAGGATTATAAATAACACAGTATACAGAGATGAAACACAGTTGCCATTAAAATATTATTTCTGTAGAATTCTATTCTGTAAGTTCATCAGTGTTATTTCTTTCTATACTAATTTGTGTCTCAACTTTTTCTAGGTCTTCAGAGCTACTGACATAATTTTTTGGGACTTCATATTCAGAGGTCTATAAAAAGGTGACTGAGCCAAATAAATTATTTTAATTTGTTTTAATTTTTATATTTTGATGAATGGTAAAATCATATATTGAGAATAAGAATAATCAAAATTCACTCAACAGATATTTCTCAGAAACCCTGTATGTGCTAGGCACCTGTTCTGGACATGGAACTACAGCAGAGGTTAAAGCACAAAATTCCTGTCCTCCCAGAGTCTATACTCTAGTAGTAGGAGAGGGACAGATTGACAAGTGAGTAAAACATGTCCTGAAATTGTTTCACTCAGAGTCAGTGTTAATTCTTCTCAGTCTCTCTAGGGCACATCTCTGTGTGATGGATTAATAGCTGCTGTAACTACTAGGCTTAGTAAACTATACTAGGAATCTGGTGTCTTAGCTTATAAAACTAGTGTCATTATGATAAGAAAATACTGCATATAGATGATCTATTAAAAGTTCTTTATAGTTAACATTTGAGTAGCTACATTTTGAAGAGTGTTACTTAAGGAAGGAATTATCCTCAGGATTATATGAGAAATTTGGTTTTGTTACCATTTTTTTGAATTAAGAAGCCCCAGTATTGTAAAAGCATTTAGAACAAGATGGCCAAGCTAACCTGTGATTGCTTTCATCAGAAGAGTGGAAGAGCCATGCAAAACTAGACAAATGGAAAGTCTAGCAATTAATGAAAAGAGAAATTCATAGTTAACTAAATATTTCTTAAAGTTATTTCTCAGCTGTCAGAATTAACTGAGTTGGGGTTTTATTAAGGAATATTAATTATTCATTTATTTAGGAGGTATTATCTGAAGTAATTTTTCCATCTTTTCTTTTTAGTATATATTTAAAAAATTATTCTGAGAAAAATAACAGCATAGGTTTTTAAGTTGTTTTTTATCTAGAAGCCTACTTTTTTTAAAGGATTATAATGCTGTGACTGAGGATTTTTAATGGTGCTGAGCAACTTCTTTTTGTTCTTTACTGAAAATATAATACATGATTCAGATTCCTGCATTGGTCAGGGAAAGTATAGTTTTTATCAGGCTCTTTTGATTATCAAACCAGGCAGTTTGGGGGCTTTTCAATTTTTCTTCTTTGTAATTCAAATTATACAGTGATTCTAAAATTAAAGAAAGTTGAACCAACAATCCTCAATATTTAATGTTATGCCCTTTGCACTTATTTGATGTGTTCTGTCTTCTATCATTTGTAGATTTTATTTCAATTTTCCAGAGACTTTAAGACTGTACTGCTTAAATCTTTGGATATATTGTTAGGGAAAGGAAACATTTATGTGTAAGATGGTCTCAAAGGCAGAAGGTTAGATTACTCACTTTTATGAGCTGTGAAGGAGCAATAAATAGATAAGATTTGCCCTTTCATTTTAGTCCCAAGTCTTAGCAACATGTCACCTTCCGTTGAGTAGGAACAGATCTGTTGCCACACCCATATTTGGAAAGTCCTAGATCCATTGGTGAGATCAAGCTCTTGCAAAGTGTAGATGCCAGAGAGGACTGCTCAGTTTATAGCTGTTCTAGCATTCTAAAACAATGACACAAAAGAGGAATATTATCTTTATGCATTCTTAACAGTCTTGGCTTGATTCACTGATCACAGTTGGGATTTTTATCTGCATTAATTTGCTTAGAGATGTCAAAATAAGATTCAAGCATCTCAGATTGTCTACCATTTAAAATATCATATACATTTCACACCATGTGATTTTTTTTGGTATAAATAATCTTATTTTATTTATTTGACTTTTCTACCATCTTATTTTATCATGAGTCAGTATATTCATGACACTTTTAAGTCATGTGTATGTGTGTGTATAGAAATCTTTATTAATCCAGGTCTTTAACATTGACTTTCTTCCCACATAAAATGCTTCTTATTTCATCCTTTTAATGTGTCTTTTTTACAGTATAAAACCACCAATGTAAAATCATTCAAAGGAAACTTTTTTCCCTTTTTACTGTACCTCTAAATCTCTTAATCTGCTGTTGTATTTTTATACTTCAGTAGTTTGTGAGTCTTTCTGTTCCCATATTCCATTGGTTATGGTCGCCAAATCAAGGTATCCTCACTGCTTTTCCATACAGAATTTTCTGATATTTATCATGAAACTGTACTCTTCGTGGTTTGTTTTTATTCATATCTAGCGATGGATATTACCTCACAAATATTGTTAAAATAATTGTATCTTCTCCCAAAATCACAGTTAAAATTAAAATGGTTTTTAAAAAGGAATAGAGTGTTCTGTGATGAAGGCAAGAAACATCTGTGTCCAATCAGTTAGAAACAAATTGATCCACTTTATCATATTTCATTTGAAAGAAACAACATTGGCTGCTTGGAAAAACAATTTGTAGCAGGGGTGGGGGGGCAGGGTTTAAATGAAGATCTTGAATTGTCAAAAATTCAACTAGGATATTTCTATTAATCAGCCTATATCTTTAAAGTTGTTGGTTAGGTCCTAGGCTACTGGACATTTTTGTTTGATGAGCAGTTATAGAATGGGGGAAATGTGCTTAATAGTGAGCTGGGCAGACTATTACTTTCTCTTTATCTGAAAGGAGGGAATAAAATAGAAATGAAGAAAAGGCATAACTTTTGCCACCTCATTAATGCATTACATAGTAAACATGGGACAATGTGTAGATCCCTTGTATTTAGCCCTTTAAAGGCCTTATTCAAAAAATGGAAAAATATTTAGTAGCATTTAGGATAAATTTAAAGAACTATCTGGTTACTAGATATTTTCCTTTTCTATGGCAGAATTCCTCATGTCCATAACATGTTGGTTGAGGCTCTACAGCTCACCCCCACTCTCAGAGTGGCCAGTCTCCATTAATTGGACCCCGTGATTTCCACTTTCTGCTGTGTTGGACGTCATGAGCATTGCAATCCCTCTGGGAGTCACCACACCAGATACATCCTACTCAGATATGGCTGCTGGATCAGAGTAAGTGCTACTTCCTAGGTAGTAGGTGAATTACCAGTTTGTGTGGAGACAGCTTTCTTATGGGTATCTAATAATAAATATGTAGTATTTTTTAAACCCAAGCCTAGCCCACTGTAAATGACATTAGACCTTTCCCTATCTCCCATAGAAGCTGGATGGGGGAAAAAAGAGTTAGAAAGGGGAGGGAAAGAATTGGGGAGGGGGTCTCTAAGTAAATAATGTAATGAAATTTGCAAAGTAGTGACTACATTTTCATTTGTTTTGATGGGTGGGGAAGATTGAAATAAAGTAGATGTCACTACCTGCTTCTGTAGAATTAATGATTATTCTGATGGATGGAGATAAAGAGGAGTTCTCTCCAACTGATTTTCCTTGAAGGCCTCTTCCTATGTACATCTCGTGGTAGAGTAAAGGGGCTGAAACTTTATATGGGCAGGTTACTTAAACCTTCTGACATTTTGGGGTAGAAATTGTGGAAAGATAGTGTCATCTGTTTTTGATAATATTCATTGCCTAGAAAGAGGACCTTCAAAATCAGTGGTACCAAACTTTTTTTTCAGCTAAGAGCAGCTTTAGGAATTCAGAGTTTGTCGAAAAGTCCAATCCCTAAAATAGACTCTCAATTCTTGAAGAATTTAAATGCCAAATGGCAATGAAGGTAGGCCTTTGTTATAAAACTTTATATATTATTCACAGTTTTAAAAATTTTAGCCTTTTGTACCCCTTCTCTTTTAAGTGTCCGAGATTCCCCCTGCTCACAGATTCCCCCTCTTGTCCTTTTACCTCCCTTGTACCCAATCTTCCTTGCTTACAGAAAGGAAGTGGAAGCCCCCTACCTTTCAAGACGAAGTGGCACTACACAAGGATGTGAAAGTCCAGCGAAAGAGACCCAAGGGGCCTAGGGGGCAGCACACCCCCAGAAGCCAAGTCTTTTCCAGGCAGTACCAGGGATTAGGGTCTGGGCTGGAAAAATCCTGGTGTTTTGAATATGTTCAGGTCCAGTTCAGACTCTTGATCCCACAGCCACTTCTTGAGTGAGGTGGGTGTTGCTCTAATTCCCCTGTTTCTCTTGCCATTTTCACAGTCCCTGGGGATTCTTCCCCCTTCAGCAAAGAAAAGCAACTGTACCAGAACTCTGGGTTCAACTGCGTCCCTGATTGATAGTGGTTTTCTTCCTTAAAACTGAGAATATTAGTAAAGAGCATGTATATTTCTTCATAAAGCCACCTAGGATAACTGTTTACTAACTTCCTTGAAGAGGAAGGCTTAAAATGAAGCTACTCTAAGTAGCAGTGTACTATATTCTGGGGTAGTCTAGAGTTTAAAACAGTTTTGGCCTTATTCCCATATAAAAAGGAAGTTGGGAGGGGGGATTGTGTTTCTTCCAGGGCTTTTTTTCTTTTTCTTTTTTTCCCCTCCCTGTTTTGTTTTTATATTTTTGCATGCCGAAGAGATTTAGTTATGCCAATAGCTGAGGTTTCCAGTTTTATAACTATTTCCCAAGTAAAGTACTTAAATATTCGTGCATTAGTAGGTAACTAGTTGTATAGTGTTAATAGATTTTTATAAAGTTAGCCACTAGCCTCCTATATGGATTGACTAGCAAACTATATAGATAAACAGCATTAACATTTGTGAGAAATTTCAATAAACAGATTAAATCAGTGAGTTTGGGGTAAGTAGATAAGAAAAAGACTGAAAGCAATTATTCTTAAAACTGGTATGTTTCCCAGAGTAAACAGATGACTGCCCATAAATGTTGCTAGGAAGTCCAGAAGTAATTGCAGAAAGAAAAAATACTTCTGGCATAAAAATTTGCCTGCAATGTTTCTATTTTCTGAGACATTTCATTCACAATCTCTAGGCAGATTTTTGATACTGTGGTCATAACTAATTACACAGTTATTTGTTAATATTTCTACAAAGCAAGAGAATGTCAGCAATTAGCTTATGTACCATTCTGTTAAATTATTGATGATATATTTTTATGCTTCATCATGCATATTTTACTGTCATGCATATTCCACTATTCTAGGCACTAGTATGAAGAGTAAATCTGGTATGAAGGGCAAGATAATTCAACCCAAAAAAAGACCTAGATCTATTTATTTGTAGGGAAAAACTCTAGATAGATATAACAATGGAAGCAAAGGTTTTTCTGATTTTACAATCTTGCCGTAAATGAACTTCAGACATTTCCCAAGAGATAGCATTATAGCAGCAGGTTGCATATTGTACTTAGAACACAGTTGATGGAGTGTATCTGTTGTAAGCATGGGTTCTATGTATGTGTCCAACTGTCATAGTTCAAACATAGGGGAAGAAAGGCTATAGTTACATTTGCGTTAAATGGTTGACTAATAAAGAGATGCAATCCTAGCACTTTTAAGTTTTAGTCTATTTAAAATAAACATAAGAGCTGATATATATGTCAAGGCATATCCTAAGAAATATCCTGTATTTACCTGTCAACATATAACTGTATTGAATCAGTAATCAGTATGGAAATTGTAAAGTTTCCTCATCAAAAGATATGAGCTTAAAATTTTAGTATTTGGCATGCATAGCAATATATCAAATGCTGTGCTTGACTAGAAAGTATTGTGCAGTGGGATGGCCTTTTAACCTCCAAAACATACATTTTATTTTTATTCCCTAGACTTGCACATGAATTGCATATGTTCATATTTACCCAGTTTGGAGATGGGTAAGATACAACCAACATAGCTACATCTCCATGGCCATCTTTTATTTCATATCATTTTCCTTTTTACCCCTGTCCAAAAAAAAACACACAGCAACAACAAACAAGCCATTCTTAATAAACAGCTGTCATGTTTCACCCTATGTGTTCAGTGGTACAAAATCTCTTATATAAAATATGTACAGCTCTTTGGAATACTTGTTTACCAAGTAAATTAACTGTTACTTTCTCTTGACTGTCCATCATAGAAACTAAATTCTACCTTCATTTTATTAATGCTTGTTTGCCTTTGGTTTCATTCAGGAAACCCCACCTGTTTCCTAATACCTCAGAATTGATTGCCTCTCAGTGAGCCATGTTCAGATCATCTTTTTCTCAAGAATACTGACCTACATTCTTGATGTATTCCCCACAGTTTCCATCTTGCAGACACTCCTTTAAAAATTAAAAGTAATAAAATGCATGCACTTCACTAACAGAGGATACTTTCCTATGTCTAAAGTTCTTCTTCACCTAGAAATTACCTTTGCTGTTATTAATAAGATCCCTTCTCACAGTTTTGGAGCATATGACTGGGTGAGTTGGATATATATATATATCAGAATTTTTTTTTTTATCCCTCACTTTTCGGCTGACATTGTGCCATGTTGAACCTCACACCTTATTCCTGCCAAGTAGTACTATATATTGTATGTTTCAAGCAGGAAAAACATACATTACCTGAGGCAAACAGTATGCATTGTTCAATTTCCTAAAAGACCCTTTGATCTCTAAGGCTGAATTATGAGTGGTGTCATTGGAGTTTCTAATTTGTAAGTCTGTTCTAGTTAATTTAAATGACAGATAATCTATTATTCAGCCTGTTATTCAGGTCTGCAGTCATGCATTTGCATTCTTTAATATCTTTCAAAATTCCTCCAAACCTAACCACTTAAAGTTCTTTTTTTACCCTAAAACTTAAATTTTATCCTTTGCCACCTGTGCCTTTTTATTACTAAGTAACGGATTACATTGAATTCCTAAATTTGAACACATTTATAATTCTTTTATATCAATAAATTGTGCCTGAACTGTTTATTTTCCACTCAAGGAGGATACTAAAGGTACTTAACCAAGCTTCTTACTAAGCCTGGTTACTTAAGATCTCATGTAATTTTCTTTAAAGGTAGAATCTTATCCTGGTTTACAAACCATTTAGGCAGAGTGGAGAGAGCACAGGCTTTGGAGTCAGACATTGTTTCAAATCTTGGCTCTCTGTAAACTCACCACCTTAGTTTTACCCTTCTGTAAATATGGGGTGATATTTACCATGTTTAGTAGTTGTAAAGTAAATGAATTAATATATATAAAATACCTAGAAAATAGTGGGAAATTCAAAGTGGTAGTCACTACTGCTCTTTGTCATTAGACTAACAAAACATTATTTTAAAGTTCTGTTGTATTATGCAGCTGTAAAATAATTGTGTCCTTGATATGCTTGCATGTCATTGGTGGATGAGAAGTTATTACTCTAATATTTGAAAGGTGTTTGGGGGTTCATCAAGATGAGAGGTATAAATATAAGATGCCATTGTTTTTACCTGTACTTTCTTCAGGGTATCCTGTCTTGGTAGTGAATGGAAGAGGGCCTGGTCCCTGGGGCAGTGCAGAAGGCACTTTCATCATCTCACTCACTGCAAATGTCATGTGAGGTTTCATGGAAGTATTAAGAGATCCAATTAAGAAGAATAGTTCTGAGTCTAAAGCAGCCCAGAGTGGCTTCTCTAGGGGAAACTCCCTGCTCAGCTGGTACGTTTGTGTTTGTCATTAGGGACACCTTGTATCCCAGGTGCCTGCCTTGAGACATCTGCCTGTACTGGCTTCATGTTACACACAAATCCACATTTAATAACACTCCTAGTGTTATTTATAGGCATAGTTATGTTAATCAGATTTTTTCACTGAGTTCTTTCTTTATTCTAGTAGCTGGTGGTTGTGGAAAGAGGAGGGGTTAGAATGGGAAGTTAAGTCATAGTTTAAGGAAAGATTAGGTGTTATGCTATCATGCGTTGCTTTTCGCCTTTGTGCAGCCCTGAATCTGTGGAGGCTAGTCCAGCAGTTAATGAGAAGAGCGTGTATTCCACTCATAATTATGGGACCACTCAGAGGCATGGGTGTCGAGGACTGCCTTATGCTGTGAGTATGCATTTGTTTCTCTCCAAAGCAGTGATCTTCCTGGAGTGTAATCCATTCTTATACATTGTGACTTTCTTGCAATGTTTATATGCAGCATGACGAAGTTGCCCCTTTTGCACTTCCCTGCCTCCAGCGGACGTCTAGCCCTGCATCATTGTTCTTGTTTTTATGTCCCAGTTGACCTTGGCATTTTGTTTTATCACTTTCCTGGTTGAAGCCAAAAAACGAAGGGTACTACTTTCTTCTTTCTTTCCATATGTACCATACTTTAGGGGAGAGAGGGGCCAGTGTTTGGACACTGTTGATTTAAAAAATCTTATTTTCAGGATCATAATTACGGAGCCCCTCCTCCTCCGACACCTCCTGCTTCTCCCCCTGTCCAGACGATCATCCCTCGTTCTGACCTGAATGGCCTGCCGTCGCCCGTAGAGGAACGCTGTGGAGACAGCCCGAACTCTGAAGGAGAGACTGTTCCTACCTGGTGTCCTTGTGGTCTTTCTCAGGATGGCTTCCTTCTCAACTGTGACAAGTGCAGGTAAGATCATGTTCCATCTAAATTCAAGCCTGGGTTGCTGGGATTAGGGTTTCTTAGTAGGGAAAAGCTCAAAGTATTCTTTCTTGTGTTTGTTAATGTAGATGATTCCTTAGTGCTCCTTGGCTCGAATTCTCTGCACTAGGTGAGAATTGCTGACAACAAGGAATGAGAAATTGATGTTAAAGCTATTGAATTTGATATGAAATTTAATGTCCTGGAAACTTTTGGTAGGTGGGAGGAAGGGGGTAGTGTATGCAGAGACACATCTCCCATGTGTGCAATGATGTTCTACATGGTGTTGGAAGGACTACTTTAAGTTTATTTTCCCTCTTTAGGGGAATGAGCAGGGGGAAGGTTATTAGACTTCATCGGCGGAAGCAGGACAACATATCAGGTGAGCAGAAGATGGGTTATGCCCATATTTTGACATAATATTTTGTATTTTAAATATTTGTCTCAGCTTCTTCTAAAGTTTTCATGATCCCTAGCTGTTTCTATGGAAAAGATTGAAGTCCTCTTAAGACTACCATGTAATCCTCTTAGTGTGAATTAAATGTATCCATAAATGACATTTTAGCCCTGTAGCAATCAAAATATTCCTTGTGAGCACAAAAAATCAGATCCTTTTTCTGTGTTACATATTGAGGCAGTGGAACTTTGGGACTGATTATAAGGGGACAAATATATACAATGTAAAACACAGTTTATATGTTTATTGCCAATGATACAGAAAGAGTCTTGTTTTCAAATGGAAGGTGGGTATTTATGTTGTTCTACAGATAGTTAATAGTAGAAGTAATGACTTATTGGATATGGGAAAAATCTAACAGAATAAGCTGCTTTAATGCGCTTTTGACTCTTTATACATTGTGAACTATGAAATAACACTTTCAGGTGGGGATAGCAGTGCAACAGAAAGCTGGGATGAGGAGCTTTCTCCTTCCACTGTGCTGTATACAGCAACACAGCACACACCTACAAGCATCACCTTAACTGTTAGAAGAACCAAACCCAAGAAGCGGAAAAAGAGTCCAGAAAAGGGTCGTGCAGCACCAAAGACAAAGAAAATCAAGGTATGGAGGGTAAAAGTATCTTAAATAGAAATATATCTAAAATAGCTCAAATTTTGGACCAAGAATGCACGAAAATTCTTTTAAGAAGTTTGATCCAGATGTTTGAAGGGCCACTTTTGCTCTACTTGCAAAAATCGGCTAATCTGTGTTGTGAACATGTAGACCAACCTCTCTTCTGCCACTCCATACCATCACAACTGGCACAAAGTTTCTTCTCCAAGTCCCATCCCAGGTATGAAACCCCAGCCCCACCTGGCACAAGCCCATATGTGCTCCAGCCTCCAGCCTAGGCTTCCACAATCCTTAACAGTATCTCCCTGCCTCCTCGGCCCAAAGCAGTCTGAGATTCTTGTCCTGGTACATGCCTACTTCATGTGATTGGGTTGATTTATTTCCTTGTTTCAAAAAAATCAGGAAATGTCTCTTGAATGGTCTAGGCTTCCTCAGTGTTGTGGTCACTTTCCTGTATTCTCAACTAAAAAGTCTCCAGGAGAAACCTCTTCTGTTTTGTGTTCTTTCTTCCCCATCACAGCAACTTTGTTGCTCCTAGGTGACTTGTCCATCCCTTGTTTAAGGGGATTGGTCTTTGTTTCCTTCTTAATTTCAAAACTGGTAAATCTGCCACCTTACTTAACATTTTAATTTACTTTTTCTTTTAGTGTCACAGGTGCATATAGGATTTAAGTGGTGCATGCTCTTCCCTGTTAATTACCTAGGTTCACAATGATAAGTACTGGAGTTAGCCACAGAGTTCACTCGCCTTGAGCTACCCCTATTCTTGATAATAGTGCGGGGAATTCAAGTGTATTTGTTACCTAGGGAAAAGGGGACAGACTAGAACACTAGTTCTTGCGTTAGTTTTAGTCTCAGATAGGTATAACTGTCATTCTTGGTACCAAGTTTTGTTTTGTTCTACTTGTTTTCCTCTTTGGGATAGGCATTTCGAGAGGGATCCCGGAAGTCCTTGCGGATGAAGGTAAGGGGTATTCTTCCCTGATGCTGTGTTTTACTTCACTGTGATCTTGCATTTTGGTCAGCTTCTTTCCTGACATTGATGGTCTGGGAATCTTGGATTCTGCTTTTTGTTAGTTTGTAATTGTTGCCATTTGGTTTTCATAGAGCCTTTCTCCAAAGTAGATTTTCTTGGCCATTTTCTGAAATATTTTCTCTTTCTGTAATTAGCCTTCATTTGTTGGTTTTTCATTAGCTGCTTTTCTGGGGGTAAGTGACATTTTGCCAAGTAAAATGAGGGTGATGTGTTCTGTTATTGTGATTGGCCTCAGCCTCAGGACTGAGGTTTTTCTGGTGATATAGGCTACATCTCTACACTAGCACCATGTGGGTTTTAATCACCAGTTGGAAGGATAATTTTCATCAGTAGGAAAGTAGTATTTATTGATAGGAATTACTCTTATTGGTATTACTTATATTTGAACCGTGTCTCCTGGCATATTTACGTGGTGTGGAAGATTCTGATGATGATCATGTGTTTTGTCTCTTCAGTTAACAAATAAAAGAGCTTGTGAGGCATAATTTTTGGATAGCAGTTGGAAAATAGAGAAATTATGTACAATGGACTTTGAGGTACTGGGTGACAAAAACAGAATTTGCCCAAAGGAGATTTGATTATACTGTCTGGTATCTTCCTTTATTTATATATATATATAGGAGAGCATCATACCTCCCAAACCATTACTTAGGACTTCAAAGCATTTAATTATAATTAAGATCTATTTTAATTCTATAAGTATTCATATCCCTAAATGTGTAAATGACATAAAAGCAGAATCTTTCCTGTTGACTGTTATATGGGGAAAACATTAAAATCTTCTAGTAAGGATAAGCTTTTATTAGGATATGTATATGGAGCCACCAACATGACTGATGTTAACAAAGATTACAGGTGGCACTTTATCTAAAATTTGAAGGTCTTGCCTTGTATATACCTTTAAATAGACTTACACATATCTGTAAAAGAGATGAGAAGAAGACTTAGAGCCCAAGAGAATCAGAGTCGTGAGGTATCTTAGAACACCACTTAATTATTATCTCCTGCAAGGGGCCAAGTTTGCTTTAACTGCCTCTGTATTTTTGTCTCCTTTGCTTGCAGGGGACCTTAAGTAGACCTATGGAACAGACAAAGCCCTGATCCTAGCTTTCAAGCCCTTTTTTATTTTATCAGCTATTGTAACTTGTTTTTAGAAGTTTGAAATGTTTTGAAAGCTATTGACCAACTCTCCCAGAAAACTACACATAAATCCCAAATATTGCTTGCTATTTCTAAATGTTGACAGTCCCATAAACGTGCTAAAATTTAGACAATAAAAAAATACTAGTAGGTTTATTTTAATTCTCATACCAGGATTTTAACTGGAGTTGCAAATTTTGTACTCAGAATTCATTATTAATAAGAACTTTGCCAAAGGTCTGAGTGAGAGATATAAGAATTGGAAGAATTTATCATTTGGATTTTTAATCCCAAAGTCAGATACTTCTCTACTTGGAGACGACTCAGAATTTCTCAACCTTGACACTATTGACTTTTTGAACCAAGAAATTTTGGGGCAGTTGGGGGAAGCTGTTTTTTGCATTGTAGGCTGTTTAGCAGCATTCTTGGCATCTACCCACTAGGTACCAGTAACACACAGGTGTGACAATAAAAAAAGACTTCAGATATCACCAAATGTCTCCTTATGGGCAAATTACCTTTGGTTGAGAACCACTGTTCTAAATCTACTGAGATGGAGTGTTCAGTACCCAGAAGAATGGGACAGCAGAATAAACAGAGTTGTATTCATCAATAACATACGACACTGTGGCAAAGGCTTCCAGTATACATTAAGTTTAACAAGACAAAAGTTTAGTGATCCCTACTGGGTCCTTAAACTTGGGAATACTGTTTGGGTATCCATAATCCTCAGTCTTATAAGCAAGCACCCTTAAGTCTTAGGTTTTGCACTTTTCTTTTGCTCAGCTGTTAACTGACATCTCAAGCAGATGATACTCTGTTCTCAGTGTGTTGGCCTTAGATGTTTCTTAGATCCTTTGTTTGTTGTTCGGTCTTTTGGACTTTAGTATATAGAAAAAACAATGGTATTAATATTTTCCTGTTTCGTGGGGAAAGGATGTTAGACAACAGTCAGTTAAAACAGTAACACAAAAGTGAAAGAAAGCAATTATTATAATAGACATAAATGTTTTCTGTATCATTCATGGAAAATATATTTAATTTTCTTAAGCCTATTTTTGCAAGATTAGTTTGGACATGATTTATAAGTAACTTTGTTTACTGTCTTTTCCTTCTAGTCATCACTAATATGACATCATCACAGTCGGTGTTTGTTTTGTTTTCTGATGGCACCTTAACTCTTGAGCACCAGGGAGGAGAACATGTGTCAGACTTAAGTTCTGCCTTTAGTTCAGGCACATAAAAAACTGTTTGGTTAAAATGTTTATGTAATATAATAATCTTTTCTCAGTACTGTCACCATAGAGGGCATTGGTTTTCCTAGAGAAGTATAGCAAAGTACCTCTCAGCATTTTCCAGACTCCACCTACCCACCCCCTCTCCTCACCTCACCTCTTCAGAGTGTGGCTATTTAAACTGTCGAAAATAGAGTGTTAGAAAGATACACTCCAGAATGGTAACTTTTTCTTTGGGAGGTGAGATGATGAGTTATTTATTTATTTGGGTCACATGTATATTCCGAATGAACACGTATTAATTGTATAATGAAAATAAGTCTCACAAAAACATTCTCCTGAAGAGAAGTAAAATAGTTTGGGCTGGCACACTAATGGAGATGATCAAGAAGTATTGAAATTTAAGTGATTTAATATTTGAGGAGTCTCTTATTCATTTTCATGAAAGTTTTCTTGTTAACTTGGTATCATTCTTCTGATAACAAAATTGATTTTTATGACTTAAAAATGGTCATAAAACCAGTAATGGGATGGAACTATGATCCAGATTAATTTCTCACTTTTGAAATGAGGAAACGGAGCTTTTCTAAGTTGTTTAATGCTTCTCTGCTCATTGGTAATGAAACCGTGGTAGAAGCCAGATCCCTTGACTCCCAGGCATTATTCTTTTATGCCACACCAACTGCCAGGCGAAAACAAATTTTCTGAGACTCAACCTTTCCCCCCCCTCCCATTTTTATTCATGGACTCTGCTAACCTACCTGACCTTTGTTCTCTACAGAATTCTCCTTCTGAAGCACAGAATTTAGATGAGAATACAACTGAGGGATGGGAAAATCGGATAAGACTATGGACTGATCAGTATGAAGAAGCTTTCACTAATCAGTACAGTGCAGATGTACAGAACGCCCTTGAACAACATCTACATTCTAGCAAGGAATTTGTGGGCAAACCTGCTATTTTAGACACTATCAATAAGACTGAATTGGCCTGTAATAATACAGTAATTGGTTCCCAAATGCAGGTAAGGATCAAAGGATTAATGACTCTTAAGTAGTTGATTTTTAAGAACCCAGGAAGAGGGTATATATTGGAATTACCATATCTTTCAAATGTCCAAGGACTTAGAATAACAGATTAGCTAGCTACTGAGCTTCTTTAACAAAAAGCAGGTTCTAGTAACTGGAAACTATCCAGGTACATATTTTTAAACTATCTTTATTAATTAAAAATAGTTCGCCTGGCTGGGTGTGGCTCAGCGGTTAAGCGTCGACCTAGGATCCAGGCGATCGGGGTTCAATTCCCGGTCAGGGCACATGCCCGGGTTGCGGGCTCGATCCCCAGTCGGGGGCGTGCAAGAGGCAGCTAATCAGTGACTCTCATCATTGATGTTTCTATCTCTCTCTCCCTCTCTCCTCTCCTCTCTCTGAAATCAATAAAGATATGTTAAAAAAAAAAAAAAGTTAAATGAAGATAGGAAATTTTATTCGGCCTCAGTAGGCATTATTAAGATTAAGAGAAAGCTAAGCTTTTTCCCCCCTCATTCTTACATTAGACATCGACCACTAAAATAATCCTATGTTTTTCTTGGATTTTTTTTTTTTTTAATTGATTTCAGAGAGAGGGAGAGAGAGAAAAAAACATTAATGATGAGAAAGACACATCAGTTGGCTGCCTCCTACCCACCTCCCACTGGGGATCGAGCCCACAACCCAGGCATGTGCCCTGACCAGGAATCAAATCATGATCTCCAGGTTCATGGGTCGACACTCAACCTCTGAGCCATACTGGCTGTGCTTAGATCTTTTCTTGATGTCATTGTGCCCATACTTAGCTGTGAAGGGGGGGGTGGTGACAGGTTCACTACCTTTTATCAAATCTAAAATTTCTGATCATTGAGCTAAATAATATATACAAATACATCCTAAAAATATTGGTGTTTTTCCCTCAATTAGAAAATATTTTTATTGTCTATTAAGCTGCTGTTGCTATTGTCTAATGTTAATACTCTGGTTTTATTCAGCTACAGTTGGGAAGAGTCACTCGTGTTCAAAAGCACCGGAAGATCCTGAGGGCTGCAAGAGATTTGGCTTTGGACACTCTTATAATAGAGTATCGAGGGAAAGTCATGTTACGACAACAATTTGAGGTCAATGGGCATTTCTTCAAAAAGTAAGAATATCATTTATTGAGCAGTGAGGGCTAAAGTGGGCCTGGCTGAGCAGTATGTCTATAAAAACAATTCTGGTTGATAGGATACTCTCTTGGGGAAAAGATTACAGCTCAAATAATGTCATGCCTGTCTGCCATTGCTAGAGAAGTGGGAATAAGTCTGCAAATTGTTTAATGTATAAGTGGTAATGACTCCAAGCCAAACATTCCTTGCTTTGTACTTATTCTTTAATCAAAAGCAGACAAGCGTGTGATATTTTGCAAGTTTAAGCATTGCAAAAGACTACTGCTTCTTCTGTCAGCATGTGCTTTATATTTGAAGTCATGGGGTGGCCTTTCTATTTGTGTTGAGAATTACAGGAATTTTAATTATATTCCTAGACCATACCCCTTTGTGCTCTTCTACTCAAAATTCAATGGTGTAGAGATGTGTGTGGATGCACGTACTTTCGGTAATGATGCTCGGTTTATCAGAAGATCATGTACACCAAATGCAGAGGTAAGATTTCTGTAGCAACTTCTCTTTGAATGGAATCACCAAAGAATAAATCTACTGAAGAAACAATCTGAAAACTTCACCCAGATTAAGGTCTGTAGATAATGGTTATGATCTTTCATTGTAAGAGAGAGACAAAAAACAAAAGTAATGATGCTTTTATTCTGACAGGATGGGAGCAAGGAATGGATTTATTTTAGAGAGGAAGAAGTGGGGAAAGCATTTGCTAAAGAGAAAGAGCTAGACTGGATAAGAAGTTAAAGAGTCTGTACTAAAGAAGTTGCCATATAATAAAAAATGTCATTGGCCCCAAACTAAGCCGTATGGTTGCAGTTTTTTTAGATTTTAGTTAATAGTGCTTTAAAAGAGTTTCTAGACATTTTTAGAATTGATTATTCAAGTGCAGCCATATCATAATAAAACAAGAAAATCCACAGAGCTTTTCTTACAGGCTAAGGAATTTTAATTCTCTGAAAACAGCTTTAAGATATAGAATAGTGACCCTACCTTGATTGCTAACATCTCAGGGTTTATTAAAGTATCATAACTTTTCAGTTACTTTATAATAGTTTCAAATGAAATGATGGATTTAAATAACAGACCACTGTAACTCTTAAGTGGGGAGAAATTATTTGGATAAAAAGGGTTTTTTCTTCTTTTGGAGAGTTTTTTGGTTTCTGTGATAAATCATCAACCATAAGCCTTATTCACACAGGTTCGACACATGATTGCAGATGGGATGATTCACCTGTGTATCTATGCTGTGTCTGCCATCACCAAGGATGCTGAGGTCACCATAGCATTTGATTATGAGTACAGTAACTGGTAAGACCTCTAAAATCTTTCCTAACATGAATAACCTTGTTTTATATATTAAACTATTAACTCTACTTTTGTTTCTTGCCATTTTCATCTTTTTTAACTAATCTTTTCTGCATATTGCATTTTCTGCCTAGAAATTGTGGAGAGAAAGACAGACTTAGGGTGGTTTTTTTGGGTTTCGGTTTTGTTTGTTTTGTTTTTTTATGAGACTTAGGTACATAGTATAATACTGCTCAAAAGTCTGCTAACCAAATGTATTTTGGTTTACACTTTCATAGCAAGAATAGCAAAAACGGGTATGTATAACATTCCTAGAAATTGCAGTAGCATCAGTTGCTGTGCACACTGCACTTGTGCCAGGGTCATATAAAATGAGAATTTAAAGATTCACCCCATCCACTCAACTCACGTAATCTAGTTATGTATGACAGTGCAGAAAAACAGAGATGCAAATCACAGATAAATATGTGATAGATTTTTACATGGATGGTTTTTCTTACTTGGCTCTTATAGGCAAAAAAGGTTATGATTAATAAGTAGGGAATTAGTGGGTAAAAGTTAGTGGTGAATGTAGACAGAAGATAAGTATGGCCACTTATCAATGTGAGAGTAAAACTTTAGTCTCTGTCACTGATTCACTGCCCAATAAGTAGCATAAAGACAGTTGGGAGAATTGAATTTAGTGGAGGCTTTCTTTTCTTTCCACTGACCATATGTCAGTGGGAAGAGTTGGGTTATATAGAAGCACGGCATATTGAAAGTACTCATAGGACCCTCTAATGTCTCTGTTTAACTTATTCAAAGATAATACCAGAAGAAATTACTAATATTTTAAGAGAGTGAATGGGTAATATAACTGATTTTCAAGGGTACTGAGATAGGCATTTTTGTTTTTTTCTTTGGAGCAGTAATTATAAAGTGGACTGTGCATGTCACAAGGGGAACCGGAATTGCCCTATACAGAAAAGGAATCCCAATGCTACAGAACTGCCACTCCCACCTCCTCCAAGCCTACCCATCATTGGAGCCGAGACAAGACGGAGAAAAGCACGGCGGAAAGAACTAGAGATGGAGCAGCAGAATGAGGCTATAGAGGAGGAAAGCAACCCACAAGCAGAACAAGTTCCTGAGAAAGTGACTGTATCCAGTGACCATGAGGTAATGTTCCTTGGCCAGAGGCTGTTGCCATGGTATTGATTATATCCAAATGAAGAGGATCCCAGGTTACCACATGTTGTTTTATGAAGGGAATCTATGGTAACATTTAATGCCCTTCATATCAAGGTGCATGCATGTTCATTCATTCCATTCTCTCTTCTTTTAAAAAAAATCTTTATTGATTTTTAGAGGGAGCGGAAGGGAGAGAAGAGAAAGAAACAATTGATGTGAGAGTGAAACATTGGCTGCCCCCTGTATGCCTCCTACTGGGAATTGAGCTCAGAACCTGGGCATGTGCCCTGACCAGGAATTGAACCGGCACCCTTTCAGGTCATGGGACTACACCCAACCAACTAAGCCACACTGGCTAGGGGCTCTTTTTTTTTTTTTGAAATAATGTCAAGAACATTTCAGCTACTTTCTAGGTTTTAGTCCAGAGAATGGGGCTAATCATCTTGTGTTTACCATGTGGCCTCACATGAGTAACACTGTCAAGCATTAGAAATTGTTTTTAGAGAGTTTTAAGCTGCCAGGGGAGAAAAAAAGATTGATTTTTCCTAGAACTTAAGAGTACAGCTGAATATTGCATCTATCTTAAAGGAAATAGACAATCCAGAAGAAAAGGCAGAAGAAGAGAAAGAAGAGGTTACAGATGACCAAGAGAACCCAGCTCATAGCAGGAGGGTGGGTACCTAATAACATCCTTTTGTTCGTGCTGACTCCTACCTACAGTGTATGAAGCCCTTCTCTTCTGAGTTTGTATCATCTCATTTCTTCCACAGCATGCTATACCAGCATCTGTAGGTTATAATTTGGGCCTTTTCTATAAAGTCAGTTCCATTAAGGATCTTTTACATTTATTTTTATACACAGACACACATAGTAGTTGTCTAATGACTATTATCTGATGATGGTCTTTAGAAGCCTCTTATTAACAGTCTCATTTTCCAAAAACTGCCTGGTCAGTACAAAATGTGTCTGTTGGACTACTTACTCTGACTTAGGAATTTTCCTAAGTTTGTACAAGTTTTGACATTTAAAAATCCTTGTCAGTCATATGGATTCTAAAGTCTACTTTTTTGCTGAAACTATCCATGTTTATTTCTTTCCCTGAGAAGAAGTTCAGGAAAATCTACTTGGTTATTTTTGAACTCTGAAAATGCAGAGAAATACTGATTTTGATGGCTATTTTTCTGTTATATTAAAGTTTCAGAATAGCTGGCCTTCTTTGAAAAGTTACATTTTGACTTTCCTTTACAACTCTTAGCACTTAGTTGAAATATTTAATTTTCGTTTTTATCTTTTGTTCTACAAGATATATATACTGCTAGTTTTTGTAAATGTCTATGACTTTTCATAATTAATATTTCTGAAAAGCTCTTCCCTCCTTTTGGTTGAGACCTCCTTCTATGCTACTGCTATTTTTTTCTAGACCCGGGAAGATAGGAAGGTTGAAGCCATCATGCATGCTTTTGAAAACTTAGAGAAAAGGAAGAAGCGACGGGATCAGTCTTTAGAACAAAGCAACTCTGACATAGAGGTTACTACCACCGCCTCAGAGACACCTGTAGGGGAAGAAACAAAAACTGAAGCCCCTGAATCTGAAGTTAGCAACTCAGCTTCGAATGTGGCCATCCAAAGCACCCCACAGAGTATTGGGGTGAACACCCGAAGGTCTTCCCAAGCTGGGGTAAGAGAAGAAAATACTCCAGGCCTTTGACATCCTTGCTTTTACTAATGTCAATTACCTGTTTTGGGGAATGGTGTTAAAATTCACATTTTCAGCTTTATCTCATATTGCAATAAATAAGGCCTTTTAATCAGCTTTGGGATGCAGGGGGACAGAATTGGAATGACTAGACACTTTAGAATGGAACATGATACTGTTTATGAATTCTTGGTGGTGAGTTCATAAAAATCATTTGGTTTTTATTTTGGCCCTTCTGTAAAGCACAGTTATGCAGCTGCCCTTTCATAGGATTCTCAGGATAAACTCATGTTTCCCTTCCCTACCCCAGCCCTGAATTCTAAGCCTTAAGCTAAAACTTCAGTGTCTGGGGAAGAAACAAAGGGAAGAATTGTATTCTTTGCTAAGAACCCTAAAATTAGGTGGCTTCAACTGATTTTTTACCTATTTTAGTTAATTGAATTTAAATGTATAAGTTTTTATAAGGATTACATTTGAAATTGGTGTTTCTAAATGCTTACTTTTTCACCAGTAAACATTCAGAATGCTTAAAGTGAATAAGAGACAAGATAGAATGTTTGCTGGTAAAAAATTTATGGTAAGCATTTACTCTGCTGCTGTTACAGGATGTTGCTGCAGAAAAACCAGTCCCCAAACCACCTCCGGCAAAGCCTTCTAGGCCCCGACCGAAGAGTCGAATTTCTCGGTACCGGACCAGTTCAGCCCAAAGACTAAAGCGTCAGAAGCAGGCCATTGCACAGCAAGCAGAGTTGTCACAAGCTGCCTTGGAAGAGGGAGGAAATAACAGCTCAGTAACTCCTACTGAAGCTGGAAGTATAGACAGTTCAGGAGAAAACAGGCAATTAACAGGATCTGACCCAACTGTGGCATCAGTAGCTGGATCCCATGTCAACCGTGCAGCATCTAAATACCCCAAAACCAAAAAGGTAAGTCACAAAAACATCTTCATAAGTCTAGTCTGGCAAGGGCTGTGTCTCAGTAAAGTTAGAGGATCTGTAGTTCCCCAGAAGAAACAAATACTTCAGTATTATTAATTGAAAGTTGTAGATAAAATGCTTTGACACAGAGGGCTAAAGCTGTCCTACTACAGTTCTTTTGTTCCTACAATTTTTAGCCAGAATTAAATGCTGATGCCTGGAATTATTCTTCCCTTTATGCTCACAGAGAGGGTGAAGGGAAGATATCCTTGCATTTTGAATGCCCAATTCATACTCTGCAGCTGCTGTATCTACCTGTGTCCTAGTTTCTAGATGAGGTTTGTCTTTATCATCTAGCACTGCTGCCTCTGGCTTTTTCATCTGCAGCATCAACTAACAATCTCTTTTTGCCTTAGTATCTAGTTACAGAATGGTTGAATGACAAAGCAGAGAAGCAAGAATGCCCTGTTGAGTGCCCTTTACGTATCACCACGGACCCAACTGTACTGGCAACGACCCTGAACATGTTACCTGGTCTTATCCATTCCCCGTTAATTTGCACCACCCCCAAACACTACATTCGCTTTGGCTCACCCTTTGTCCCTGAGAGGCGTCGAAGGCCCCTTCTGCTTGATGGCACATTCAGCTCCTGTAAAAAGGTATGTCAATGTTTATTTTTAACCTAGGTTGCCTGCGATCATAACATACCTAACATGTTCTCCAGATAGCCACTCTGCCCATGTGAGTTCATTATGAGTTAGTTGTTCAGCCATGAATACTGATGCAGATGGGATGCATACTGCATTTTTGGTGCTCAGTTTGTGAGTATTCACTGTTGTCTTTTCAGAGAGCCCTTGAGGTTACTGAGTTGAGAGCGCACAGCATTTGATGCCTGGGTAGGGAGGGATGTTCTGTGTGTGCTCTTGTGGTATTGGTTAACATGTCCATTTGTGATTTTGAGTGAGATTGGGCCCCAGGTACTCTAGAGTACTGTTGCATAAGTTAAAAAATGATCGAATTGTGTTTTAAATTAATTCAGTCACTATTATCATTTGAATTCAAGTAGAGGAAATGTCCTGTTACAATTGGCATAATTCCTGTTCCTTGATCAAATGACAAGTTGGATTTTTTATCCCTAGCGAATATGGAACCTACTATAAAATTCATTCTCTCTCTCTCTCTCTCTCTCTCTTTCTCTTCCTGTCTCTACTCTCTCTAGTTACATACTGTTTTTGGATCTAGTGGCAGTAGTGTTTGAGTTGTTTTTGGAATGCTCTTTCTTAATTCCCAGAAGCCCTGAATATTTTCCAAAGGTGTCTCTCAGGAATAGATCGCTCCCTCAGACTATAATGTCGTTTTTGTGTTTCTAGAAGTATAGGACACCCTTTCATTTGGTCTTCCTTTGAGGTAGTCTGTTCCCTGGAACACCCTTTTCTCTTATCCTCAGATCTGGATTCAGGCTGCCTTCCTCAGTGTCTGCCATTGCCCTCCTCCACTGGCATCACGTACATGAGGATGCTGCATGTAGATTATTTGATGTGATGAAGTCTCCAACTCCAGGCAGGTCTTCCCTGACTCCTCCAAACTTAAAGCTTTTCTCTTTCCCCAAAGAGCAGAAATTATTTCTTGGGGGGAGGGGGGCATAAAAGATGAGCCAGAGTGGTGTGGGATATGGAGGGGAGGAGGGCAACAGGGATCTGTGCACAAAGGAAGGGCCCTACCACTGAATGAGCAACATACACTGAAGAAAGTCTTTTCCTAATCGCACATCTTACTAACTAAGTATTTGAGTCACTTACTGGTTTATTTGGGGGAAATTCCTAGAACTCCTAAAGAGCAATTTGACCATGAGATAATGCAATAACAGACTACTAGACTTGTGAGGATGTTAACTGTTGAAGCATCTTATCAAGCCAGATTGTAGAATCTCCTATTTTGGTCCTTTATGAAGGGTAGACAGTTAATTAGTACAGATTAATAGTGAAGTCTGAATTGTAAATAGTATGGACTAGATTCTTGAAATGATGCCTTGATTATTCTGATGCTGGGTTATGGTCTTTCTATTTCCATCTTGCTTTTCCAACTAGCAGTGTCCTGTGAAAACAAAAAACATGTAGAAATATGACTTAAAATTTCATAGAAAATCCACTTCTTAGAGGTCTTTTTACCTAGTTATGGTTTAGAGCTTGTATCTATGACTCATCTTTATATCTCTACTGGCAATAGATAGAAATCCCATTTAACTTATGTTCATGTTATATTCTCCAAATGTGTTTGTCCATCCTTAGTCTTGTTTTATATAGGCTCTGCTCAGGCACTTTCATCTATATGTGTTATAACCAGTCTTCGGTTCAGGCTATATACTCTGAATTATCATAGCAGAATTACCTTACTTAAATTGGGTCTTTAAGTATAGGTCTGAATTAAGTTTCAATCACAGCTTTAGTATTTGCTGTTAACATATCAACATTATATTACAAAACCAGAATATAGCTTTCTATGGGGAAAAATAATGAAATTGGGTCTCTTATCCAGCACTCAAACTCAGCTTTACCCTAAGTGGAAATGGAGAAAAGTTATTTGTAGATTGGTTAGAAAATATTCATCTAGTGCAGGACCTGTGATTAAACAAAATTGTAATAAATTTCTGAAGATCCCTTAGAGAAGAATGTAAGTTTAAACAGTTAGATGAGAAAAACCATCCTCCATGAGATTAGTTAGAACCAGTGTATATTCTTAATAGGCCTACTGTTTTCTATCTAAGTAAAGGAGGTACAGGCCTCATAAGTAAAAAGCAGTGTAAAATTTCCTATGTGTATTTACACCTAGATTGTTAGAATATTTGGCAGAACATTTTATGATCGCCCTGGAATTTCTAAAGTAAATTGAATCATAGTTCTTCAAAAGCATGTTATGGTATGTCTATCTTTTGTTGGATCTTGCTTCACTTCTTATTTTAGAATGGAAGCATTTATAAGTGGCTAACAAGTCTTTCAGTAGTATCCCTCCTTGTTCTCTCTAAATCTTCTCTAAACTTAGGACCTTGAAGGCATAATACGTGTGGGGCATTTGATCTCCCAGATTTCTTAGAAAACCATCCTGACTGAAAATGAAACACTGTGCTTTGCATTGGTATTTCATTGTATACACTGGTGGAAGGTTATTAATCTCTGTATCTCTATACATAGCATTGAAATTAAGCTGAATGAGTCCTCACTGAACAGGTATGCTAAGTACTCTGCTAGAAACTTTCTTCACATGCATTATCTCGCTTTGCCTACATGACAATGCTGTGAAGTTGGGATTATTGGCATGAATGTACAGATCAGAAGCTTTGACTTAGAAGGGTTCAGTAACTTGCCCAGAGTTAGGCAGCTAGTAAAAGGCATGGCGAAGTTTCAAGACAGATCTTCGAACTCTAAAACCCAAATTACTTTCTTGCTCTTAATTCTTTAAAACATTTCTTTCTTCCATCTTTGAGCTTCCTAAAAAGCTCTTTTAATACATAGTTTCAGAGAAGGAAGAAATGTTCTTTTGGCCTTAATAACCATAGCTGGGACCTGGAGATGGGGGTGTCTAATTAATGTTAATTTATTATCTATAGGGGTGATTCAAACTTGTTAGATACAGATGTTCATGTTCCTTTTTTATGGACCCTAAAGTAATTGTGTAGACATATAGTAGGTCCAGGAGGAATGGGTTAGATCATGTTTGCTGTGTTTGATCTTATATCTAACCATGGCAGCATCTTATTCCTTAGAATACCCTGTCCTGGTTTTGTTTTTCCTTTTTGTAGTCGTCAGATCCAGAATATAAATTCTTTTGTGGGCTCATCTGCTTTTCTCTTGGAGGAAAGCATGGTAACCCCAAGTAAGTCCTGTCATCTGCTCTGGAAAGAAAAACCTATACTAAAGGTATCTGTAATGAAGGATTTTACACTCATTTCCTTCTGACCCAAATTTTCTTCATCTGTACACTGAGTGTTTTGGACAGCTTGACATCTAATGTCTTTTCTAAATCATAAGGGGCTGTGGCTCTGACAGTTCATCTTTACATCAATATTCTGTGTTTAAGAGAGTTCATTCCTGGTCTTGTTTGGGCTTTTTAGAGACCTGGTCATATCCCACAGTGCTGGTGTGATTCAATTGATTGTTGAGATCTCTTTTATATACTTATTCACTGTTTTCTCCTCATGTTTGCAACTTTATTTTTGCTTTCATTTGGCAGTCCATAATGCCATTTACATGATGTAACATTTTTCTTGGTGAAATGTTTCCCACATTATTTCTAAGTTTCTAAGAGAGTATATCTATTAGAATTGCTCTCTTTAGTGAAGAGAATATTTACTTACCTGTAATACTTGTTCTCTAACGGTGTGAAATTATAAGCACCTTTGCTCTTCCTATTTGGGGGAGGGTCTGACTCAGAAATTGATGTTTATCAAAATTCGATCTGTCTTATGTTGGGGCAAGAGAGCCACAGAGTGGTGAGCAACCTACAACTGTGTATCTTAAGAGAACACAATTATAGGTAAGAAATTTTCTCTCTTCCACAGGATGCACAGTCTTACTATCCTGATCTTTATAGGCTTACTTTCTGACCTAAACTTACTTCTCATCATTTAGATTCCAATATTCACTACAAAAAATGTGACTTTTCCCCTTTTTGATTTCTACAGAAGATCATTTATTTTGGTGATTTGCATTATTTATGCATAATTTAACAAACTACTTGATAGGGAGAAAAAACTGACAGGATATTCCATCTGAGAGTAGACCTTTTAGAAGTATTTTGGGACCTGTAGTGAAGAGATGTTTGTTCTCATCCAAAGTCTTTCTGTGAATCTCTTCTTTTATCTCAGATGTTCCCACCATGGGATAGACAGCTCAAGATCTTTTATCTTACTTCTTGGCACTTACTTTACGTGCTAGTTTTATCCTGTGTTATTAGTCTCTCTTAAATAAGTGCTAAGGTTTCTTCCTATCTCTTTCCATTTCCCCCATTCTAAGCAATATGAAAAGCTGAGTAATCATTTTTTATTCTTTTCAGTTTTTTAATAGGATCTCATTATGTGTAATCTAGGTTTTCTCAGTTTTGCCCAGTAGAGGAATTGATGGGTAATATTCCAGTATGCTGAAACACAAAAAAAAAATAATTGTGGAACTGAATGAGTGTGTTGGATTGCATCTCTCGCCAGTTGATATATAATGATCTGGTTAATGCATTTTAAATAGATATACTGAATAGTTTTAAATTATTATTGATAATTCCCTGGTTTTTTCCCCCATTATAGCGCTGGATAAAGCAAGCCTTGGAAGAAGGGATGACTCAAACATCATCTGTACCCCAAGAGACTAGAACTCAGCACCTATACCAAAGCAATGAGAATAGTAACTCTTCTAGTATCTGCAAAGACAATGCAGGTACGTATCTCAAACCTTTCTGAATGTATGAGCAATGATTATTTCAGGTCCACATAAAAAAATTCAGTATGAGTACTGAAAAGGTGATTTCAAAAAAGAGAAATAGCATTGTTCTCTAAATAGTTTACATCTGTCTTTACAACAGAGGAAGAGAGCGATCTCAAGTCAGGGATCATTTTTCTAGGACGACAAAGAAGGAACTAGACAGTATACAGATAACAGCAGAAATGGTTATAAAAAGGTTAGATACATTTCAGGTAGTAAGCTTAGGAAAACTTTATTCATATTTATAAAAGGGGAAGTAAAAAATATGTGGGACACTGTTCAGGAATGAATCACGATTGTAGGTAATAGAGTTGGGTGTGGCTTGGTTGAAGGGTCAGTGGATGAAAGAAGTAAACGAGAAATTATTAGGAATTGTTTGTTTTAAAAAGGGCTTGCACTGTTAGCGTAAAAGTTTTTAGAAGACACAACCTTGAATCCAATTTAAAGTATTCATTAGGTTTTAAACTATAGAGCCATGAAAAATCATACAGTTCACTGGTTTTTACAGTTACTCTTACTGGGGGTATAATTGAGTTGCAGTTGAAACCACTGGGGCATGTACTTGTGATACCAACTTATTTGGGGACAAACTTTTTACCAAAGTTTCTCCTGCCAAGATCAGCTTAATTGAAAAGTTCTCTGTGATTTCAGTAAGTTTATCTCTAAATCAGTTGTATGGATAGGATACAATCAAAACAAAATACCAAGATAAATAGATGCTAAAAGCCATCTAAGCCTACAGCTAACATGATGATATTTGAGATTTTCATAAAAATTCATTGTTTCTATTCATTAACCTGCTGAGTAAATATAAAATTGAATTAAATAAATACATTTGTCTGCTAATAATCTGCTTTGTGTTTAAATTTTGTATAGTGTATTTGGGAAAGAATAGGCTGCTAAAATTATATATTTTTTTAAATTATTGGCTTTGTTTATTCTTTTGTCTCTAGATTGGATTATGCCTTATAAATTATCATGTGTATAACCCCAGGATAATAAAATCCCAGTGTGGAAGATAAATGATACATGTATTTAAAATATTTTACTCTCTTATCATGTATCATGAAGATTTATTCAAACCAGATTAATGTAAAAAAAATACCAGTAACCAGATTTCCATCACTATCAATTTGTGGTAGCTTTTACAGTAGAGTGAGAATATAATTTAACTGAAATCTTCTATCTGGTATACATTTCAAATCTATATAATGCCCATTTGTATTTGTGTATGGTTTGTGTGTTAAGTGTGTACATATTTGAGGTTGAGAAAAGGCAGTTGTATAGCAGTTCTTGTCCTGACTGGCAAAGACATAGGGAAAGTGCCTTTGTTACTACGTGTCTTATTTGGAATGGAATTAAAACTCTTAGTCACCAACCTTTATTGAACTTCTGATCCTGCCTCTAGCAGTGAGAAACATGCAAAAGACACACCTTGCCTTAGTAAGGAGCAACATAAACAAAAGGAAAATAATTTAATTAAAACCAAGCACTAGTCAGATGGGTTACTTTGTATATTGCTACAAGTTAGTGTAAATCCTGAGGAATTATTTTTATTTGTTGTTTTCGGATTTGTATGTTTGTTTCCCAAAAAGACCAGGGAGATATTAATCAAGAAAGGGAAACAGTTTGGTGTAGTAGAAAGACTCCCAACAGACCTGAATTTGAAGACCAGCTCTACCCTTTATTATGTGATATTGGGCACGTTACTAAACATCTCTTAGCCTCATCTATAAAATGGGAATAGTAATATCTGCTTTATAGAACTGATAGGAGATTAAATTATATGTATAAAGTACTTATTAGTGCAGTATCAGACCCTATTATTATTATGTCAGAATAATAATTACTGTCATTATTCTACACAAAATACTTGTTCTTATGGAGCATTTACAGAAATTAGATACTACAATACATTAAAAATTCTAAATTCCTAAAAGCTAAATTTGTATAGAAATGAAAGTTATTATTAGCTTAGGGGCAAGTGTAACGTTCATTATTTATGAACTAAGAAACTGCCTAGGAATATATTAGTGTAGCAGCATATGGAGCAAACTATTACTGAGACTTTTTTTTAATATGTTTTTGTTGATTTTAGAGAGAGAGAAACATCAATGCATCAACATCGGTCAGCTGCACAACCCAACCCTCCTCCCAGCTCCTACCCCCACTGGGGATTGAGCTCGAAACCTGGGCATGTGCCCTGATCAGGAATCAGGGAATCGACTGTGACCTCCTGGTGCATAGGTCGACACTCAACCACTGAGCCACACCAGCGGGGCCCATTACTGTAATTTTTGTTATTAATCCTCACCTGAGGATATTTTTTCCATTGGTTTTTAGAGAGAATGGAAGGGGGAGGAAATTGTGGGGGAGGGAGAAACATTGATGTGAGAGAGACACATTCATTGGTTGCTTCCCATGAGATACACCCACAGGGTCAGGTATAGAGCCAGCAACCCTTTGGTGTGTGGGCCAATGCTCTAACCACTTAGCTGCACTGGCCAAGGCTTGAGAAATATTTTTAAAGTCTTGAGGCAATGGAGAGAAATTTCATATTCCTTAATGGAAAGAATAAATATAATCAATATTCTTTCTTTCTCTGACTTCATAGAGTTCCTATCAAACTAGCTGGTTTGTGGAATTTGATTAAATTAAATTGATGTTTATCTAAAAAATAAACATGAAACAACCAAGAAAAAAAATCGAAAAAGAATAATGATAAGACATACTTTCCTTAGAAGCATGAAACCAGCTTCTAATATGAAGCTGGATGCTAGTAATTAAATTAGTACAGTGCTGGTCCAAGAATTAATAAAGATGATAGATAGATAGATAGATAGATAGATAGATAGATAGATAGATAGATAGATAGATAGATAGATAGATGACAGAATGATAGATCTGTGTATAGATATAGAACAGAATAGTCAGAAACAGGCCTTATATAAATGAAAGATGTAAATTATTCTGGAATTTGGGGGGATTGAAAAGAATTAGATTCTTGACAAAGCAAATTTGGGCACATTGACTTTTTTTTTTAATCAAACTTGTATAAACAATGTGTCTTTCTATATTTCCTCTGAATTAACAGGGACAAATATATTGGGAGAAAGGATTTGTAATAAAAATGACAGTATTATCCCTACTAGCAATTTGGTAAGATTTACCATAGGCATTAAAAATATTCATACTCCTTAACCTAGTAGTAGTTCTGTTAGGTATCTGTTCTATAGAAGTAGGTGTGGACCAAAATTTTTATACAAAGCATTAGTCATAGAATTATTAATAATTGCAAAATTTTATAGGATAAAAACAACCTGGATTTCATTCAATAAGGAAATGTTAGAATTTTGTTTGGTTGGTTTATCAGATTAAGTTAATCTGATAAAATGAATCAAAAGCATAATGCTGCTTTTTTTTTTTTTAATTATTTTATTGATTGATTTTTAGAGAGAGAGATGAGAGAGATGCATCGATTTGTTGTTCCACTTATTTATGCATTCATTGGTTGTTCCTTGTATGTGCCCTGACTAGGATTGAACCCGCAACATTGGCATATCAGGGTGATGCTCTAACCAACTGAGCCACCCAGCCAAAGGCCAGAATACTACTTTTGAATTAGATTTTTTTTTTCTTAATCCTTACCCAAGCTCACCCAAGGACATGCTCGGTGAGAGAGAGAAAGGGAGGGAGGGGGGGAGGGAGAGGGAGAGGGAGAGGGAAAGATGGATAGGTTGCCTTCAGTTCATGCCCTGACTATGGATCAAACCCTCGCAACCCAGGCATGTGCTGTGACCATGAATTGAACCAGCAACCATTGAACCAGCAACGCTTTGGTACACAGGACAGTGCTCAGCCAACTGAGCCATTCCAGCCGGGCTGAATTAGATGTTAGTGGTCTGAGTCTTGAATCTCTTAAGAATATTAAGAGAGTAGTATACTATGACTAAATAAAATTTCTCCTAGGAATATATGGTTAGTTCCGTATTTGGAAATTTATATATATAATTAATTTATTAGGAGACCAAATGGAGGAGGGAAAGTAATAGCACTGTAAATGAATTTAATAATAAATATAATAAAATAATATACTTAATTTTCTTACATTTATCTCAAAACAGTTGATAGTTGTGCTTCATGGTGAAAAAAATTCAACTGAAAAACTGGTTGAGATCAATATGCTAACAATACCATTTAGATAACAGAGAAATACATGCAGTTTATAGTAGTAGTAAAAAATAGAGAACACTAAAGAGTAAAGTTAATTAAAGATGTGACGGATCTGTTTGAAAAGAGATATAAATGCAGGTATGAGTAGCTGAAAGATCATGCCATGGTGCTGAGAATTCTCCCCAAATTACTTGTGAATTTAATACAACTCCAATCAAAATTCTAACTACTTTTGGTTTTGTTTTTTTAATAGATCAACATGTTTAATAAATGGTTTCTATAGCTCATTGACATGAACAAGTATGCTAGAATAGCCAAAATATTTTGGAAAGCTGGAGAATTGCTGGTATTGCCCAAACAATTTTACTTAAAATGTTATGTCAGTATTGATGCCATTTGGACATCAAGTGTACAGAATAACATTCAGAACTAAACCCAGTATATATGTAAGACTCTAATAGGATAAATGTCATATTTCAAATCAGTGGAGAAATTGTAATTATTCTATAATTACAAAAGATTTTGGAAAAACATGCTAGCCATTTGGCATGTTAAAGGATGATCACTCCCTTACACTCTATTTGAGTTAAACTTTAAAATTAAATATAGAGATAAAACATTGTATAGGCAAAAAAAGCCTATTAATAAAATTAAAAGGCGGATAGCAAACTGGGAGAATATAGCTAATTTTTTTTTTTATTGATTTGAGTGAAAGAAAATGATTGACTCCCTCCTGTGCACCCCTTACCTGGGGCTCGAGCCTGAAAGCCAGGAATGGAACCAGCTACCTCTCAGTGCACAGAACAACACTCAACCAACTGAGCCACACCAGCCAGGACACTGTAACATTTTTGTCAAAGGGTCAACATTCTTATTACTTAAAGAGCCCTTACAAATGAAGATCAAGATCAGCACCCTATAGAATGCAGTCTAAAAGACATGAATGGACAATTCACACAAGAATAAATCTAAAGCCAGTGAGCCTATAGAAATATTCTTTTGATTTAACAATTCTGTATCTAGACATTTGTCCTAAAAAGTAAACAAGTGCAGAAATATGTAAGAGCAAAATTATTGCTCATTGAGGAGGAAAAAAAAACATGAAAAATACTTAAGTGGGTTAAATTTTGACAATATGGATGTCATACTACAGCCATTAAAATTTTAGTTTAGATTTTTTTTTTTTAAATATATCTTTATTGATTTCAGAGAGAGGAAAGGAGAGGGGGAGAGAGAGAGATAGAAACATCAATGATGAGAGAGTCATTGATCAGCTTCCTCCTGCATTCCCCCTACTGGGGATCGAGCCTGCAACCTGGGCAAGTGCCTTGACTGAGAATCGAACCCCGATTGCCTGGATCCTAGGTCGATAACTCAACTGCTCAGCCATGCCCAGCCAGGTGCAGTGTGATTTTAGTCCAGTCAATAAGACCATGAAAATAAACCAGTATAGCCCGGCCGGACGTGGCTCAGTGGTTAAGTGTCAACCTAGGATCCAGGCAATCAGGGTTCGATTCCCGGTCAGGGCACATGCCCGGGTTGCGGGCTGCAGCCGATCAATGACTCTCATCATTGATGTTTCTATCTCTCTCTCTCCTTCTCCTCTCCTCTCTCTGAAATCAATAAAGATATATTTTTAAAAAGAAAGAAAGAAAGAAAATACACCAGGATAGCCCAGTCGGTGTGGTTCAGTGATTGCACTTCCACCCNCCCAGACAGCATGGTTCAGTGGATGAGCATTGACCTATGACCCAGGAGATCGGAGGTTCGATTTCCAGTCAGGGCACATGCCCGGGATGCTGGCTCAGTCCCCAGTAGGGGGCGTGTAGGAGGCAACCCATCAGTATTTCTGTCTCCCTCTCCCTTCCTCTCTTCTCTAAAAAATCAGTAAAAACATATTTTTTTAAAAAAGAAAATACACCAGGATATTAGCAGTACATTAATTTGAGGTTGTGATTTTAAATTGTGTTTCCATATGTTGATATTTGTTTATATAATGTTGGGAAGTATTTGAGTAAAGGTAAAAGAAAAACATAAAAGATGGGTAGATTTAACTACATAAAACTTGAAAGCTATATACTGCAAAGGAAAAATGAAACTAGAAAAAATGCAATTGACCACTGGCCCATAAACTTCATCAGGTCTGTTTTGTTGACTGTGATATCATAGTAAGTACTCAGTAAATATGTCTTAAATGATCTGTAAATTGATTTGGGGGTGGGTTTGCCTGAACTTTCCAGCTTTCTGCAATGAACTTTATCACTTATATAATTAGTAGTTACAGTGTTGTACCTAGCTATATAGCAGTCTTTTAAAAGATTCACTCTTTGCCTTGGCTGGTGGTTAGAGCATTGGCCAGTGCACCGAAGTCTCGGGTTCAGTTCCCAGTCAAGGGCACATACCTGGGTTGCAGGTTTGCTCCCTGTCCTCAGAGAGGGTGCCTGTGGGAGGCAACCAGTCAATGTTTGTCTCTCGCCCTCTCTCCCCACTCCTTCCCTCCCTTCCACTCTCTGAAAAAGCAATGGAAAAAAATATCCTCAGGTGAGGATTAACAAAAATAAAATAAAAAATTCACTGTTTAAGACTCTTGAAATATAGAAAAGGTATTCTAAATATAAGTCACAAATCACTTGTGTTTTTATACCTAGGCACTTTTCAAAAGGAGAAAAGAGAAATAAGAAAGAAAACTTAGTATCTGGAACAAAAGGAAACTACAAATATACTTCCAATCTAGGAAAATTAATTCTCAGATATCAGAAAGGAAAATATGCATCTCCAGTATTTTTTGCACTTATTCTTCCTCTGTGTCTAAAATCTGCTCTAGTTCAGTGACTCATAATTCTTTTTATTAACTATTCCATTAATTGAAATAGTTTCCCACTTCTAATCTCATCCTAACCATTACTACTAGAATAATATTCCTGGTGCATAGCTCTGATCATGACCTTCTGTCCCAGAACTTTTTCTTAAGGGCCTGGGGTAAATGTTACTCCATTCACCAAGCCCTGGGGATATAATTTAATCTAGTGATTAAGAATGTAGATGGGGCCCTGGCCTGGTTGCTCAGTTGGTTAGAGCATCATCCTGATACACCAAGGTTGCAGTTTCTATCCTGGTCAGGGCACATACAAGAATCAGTCAAGAAATGCATAAGTAAGTTGAAACGACAAGTAGATGTTTCTCTCTCCCCAAATAAAATCAATAAAATTTTTTTTTTAAATAAACAGTAAATAAATAAAATAGAATGTAGATGGAAACCAGATCACCTAGACTTTATCTCTCTACACACAGAATTCCTTATCTTTAAAATGGGGATGATGATAATAGTGCTGAATTTATAGAGTTGTTCAAATTAAATCTGATTAATTCACACAAAGCATGTAATATAGTGCCAAGTATGTAATAAGCAGTTAAAAGTATAATTATATTTTACTAACAGCAGTATGATCACCTCTGTTGATATTTTTAATTTATACTAAACATGTTTTACATGTTTTCTGTTTCTTAAAAAATTTGTAAGTACCTTTTAAATAGATTATATAATGACCATTTTCTATCCCCCCTTAAACCTAGTTCAGTGGTTTTCATATAGTAGATATTAAGTAAACAAATACCTTTTAACTGTTGTAGATGAATAAGTAGATTTTTTCCTCAGAGAAAGTGGGATATAGGTACTTTGGCCGGTGTAGTCACTAAAATATATACAATAGTAACTTACTTTTTAAGTGGACCTAAAAGGTATAGAAAATTGGATATTCTAATGATAAAAAGTTCCAGCCTAGTTTTTTTAAATGGTTAGGGGTTTTCATAGAAGTTGTTTCACACTTTGAAGCGCTCTAAAGCTAGTGGCTAGATATGGATCAGGTATTCATGTGTACCTCATTCCTACTAAAGAAGAATGTCATAGATGCAGCTGAAAAATGGCAAAAATGTGTAAGAGAAGATAAAAGAAGTATGTAGTTCGCATTCTGGAAGCTTGAGCTGGTGACATGTTAAGTAGAGGATGATTTTAACAGAGTAACACAAATTTGGGATTCTTGGAAACTCAGTGTAAAAGTTACTTTATATTTTCCACTGGAAGAGATTAATTAGCTCCAGAAGTGTCAGATTCATCTGGAAATTCTCTGGGAGATAGTTTTGAAAATTAAGAGTGTCAATTAAAGAGTTTCTTTGGGCTTTTAGGTTGATTTCAGGAGATAACTATTGGATGAGGCAAAAGAGGAGTTGAGAGCCATTGTGGGCTACAAATTAATGGCTTTACTCCATTTAAACTGTAGTTTCAGCCTCTCATCAGAGCTTTGTATTTCACAGACTTGTTGAGCCCATTAAAGAAATGGAAGTCTCGCTATCTGATGGAGCAGAACGTCACTAAGTTACTTCGGCCTCTATCTCCAGTCACACCACCCCCTCCCAATCCAGGCTCAAAGAGCCCTCAGCTGACCACACCTGGCCCATCTCATCCAGAAGAAGAATGTCGAAATGGATACAGCCTCATGTTCTCACCAATCACGTCTCTTACTACTGCTAGTCGCTGCAATACTCCTCTGCAGTTTGAGGTGATTTGGGTTTGGTTTGGGGGAGTGCTGAATAGAGTCATCATTTGCACCTCCTCATTTCAAATATAATAGCATTCCAAATGCTTCTTTACCATGTTCCTTGCCTGTTTTAGCAAGAGAATGGGAAACCTCATGGTCAGTGTGACCTATTACCTGGTAGCCTCTCATCTTGGCAGTCCACATACTTCCCAAAATTGGAAAAGTTGTACCACAGATGACATTCATTTGCCTTTTGCATGCAGTCCATTTGTCTCTTTAACTTCAGATAATAAGCATGCTAGATCTCCATCTTTGTCTTTTCTCTCTACTTGGTTAAAACAGGCCTCTAGCTGCCTAGTAATCATTAATGACACCAGCCTGAGAGCTCTGATTATACTGTTTGTATCTTTGTTTCTAGGCCTTTAAATCAGTAAAGTATCTTTCCCTGTTTTGTATTCTCATGTATGGCCTTAGTGAAAAGGGATTGAGAAAGCATATGGTTTATGGCAAATGAGGGCTTTTTTCCTACTCCAGGTTCTTTTCCCTTTTTGTTACAATGTGTTAGAAGTGAGACAGAAACTAGCAACACATTTATAAAGACATTGATTACATTCACTCTCTGGATTAAGTTAGAATTGTATATCTCAGCTGTTTCAAAACATTAATTCTGAATCAGTTTAGTATTCAAGCTTGGGTGACAGCAGATTTGCCTAGTAGATTCCATGTGTATAAAAAATACCTCATCTATCGCATGTTGCTTTGATTTATAATTAAATTAGACATACACTATCTTTTCCTTCTCAGAAAATTTTGTTCTGATCACTAAACAAACTCAGCTCTGCCCCTAGTTTGCACTTCTCCACATGAATATCCTAACCAATGTCATCCTCTCTGTTGAGCTTTTATGAGAGCATGGGGATTAAAAATATCTGGACTTGTAAATGGCTAACTCAGAAAGAGGTAGATAGCAGCTATACCTAAGCTATTAACTTGACTTTTGGAGCAAACCTCTTTTTAGTGGGTAAAAAACTTTCCTTGTTATATCTGATTTCTAATTCCTTGTGGTGGTCTTTTTAGCCAGATAGTAAAGCAGCTAATTCAGGCCTTACAAAGTTTACCTGGTCTAATTGCAGTTGACTTCGTTAGCAACTAGAGTTTGCTAATAAAATTTTATGAGAGGACATTCTCCCTGGAGGGCAGTATATTATAGGAAAAGGGATTCATACTTTGTCTGTAGGTTTTATTATAATTAAAGGTGAAATTAGAAGGTAAGTCACCTTCCCAAACAGCTAAGTTTAGTACTCAGTGCATTTTCCTACCCCCTTGTAGCATTTTGGATAACTATGAAATACTATGAAAGTGTAAGGTGTTACATATATATATATATTTTTTAATCAAGATCCTTTTATTGGTGCATAGTCAAAGCATATTAGAATACCAGGAGGGGGGGGAAATATAAAAGTTCAGTGTATGTTTCTGTTTTAATCTCATTATTTAACTGAGGAAATTTAGCCTTTCTAATCAATTAAAAGACAAACCTCACCATTCTGACCATGCTTATCATTCTCATTGCCGTACTCTTTCCTATTTCCTAGTATAAGGAGGTGTAAGGAGCCTTATTTCCACCCAAGACTGACACAGAGAAATACCAAAAGGTGTCACAAGTAAAGATCAGCTTGGTTGGGGGGGGAAATGTTTTTGAAAAGAAAAATAAACATTTCAGGAGAAAAGTGAGACATTTTTCCAACTCCAAGTGAAGGAGTTGAGGAGACACTAGTGGAAGAGAACAAGATCATGAGGGGAAAGCATCAAGAAAAGAGACAAAGCAAGATTGAGGAGGCACACTTAATTCGCTTCCCCTTTCCACCACAATAACTCTTCTCTCTCTGCCTTGTGATCTCTTTACTGTCCATTTCACACACTCTACCTATCCCACCAAGTAAAATTAACAGCCAATCAATACCCTGCTCTGCTGAAGCAGCCTTATTTCCCCTACCACAGACTCAGTTGTGCATAGTATACAACATTAGGAACCTCCCCCCCCTTACCTTACTCGTGTCACCCTGAATTCTTGTTACCACCATCATTCTTTCCACTTTTACCATTCAGATCTTCCCATCAGAGTTCACTATCCATTTTCTGTTTGTTAGGAGAGTGATGCCTCAGGTGAAAGCCCTAAGGGTAAACCTGTTTAGGAAGCAGGGGTCAGGGTATACACATCTGCTTTTTCCCCCCCTCTGTTCTCAAAAGTACAATGGATTTTAACATCAGAGGATGTTGGTAGGTGTGGTCAGAACCAATTAGCTTATGAAAAGAACTATGTAGTCTGTGAGCTAGAGAGTCCATCAGTCTTATCTTCAGAACTGATATTCAAGAGGAACTCACCATCTCCCTAGTCCTGTCATCCTCCAGCATGCTAAATGGTTTCCCCGGAAAACGATGGTTGGCCAGAGTCACATAGGAGAATGAAGAAATGTAATGTTCAGGGGCGGGTGTGGGGTGAAGGAAAAAGGTTCCCCTAAGGAGGAATAAGTGGTTGGGGTGCCCAATAACAAATACTATAGGTTGCTAAACTCTCATCTGACGTAGAAAGAAATAGACATTGACCCTTGAATAACACGGGAGTTGGAAGTACCACCAACTCATGCTCATTTAAAAATTCACATACAACTTTTGACACTCCCACCCAAAAAACTTTACTAATAACTAACTACTGTTGATTAGACATCTTAATGATAAGTCAATTAATACATATTTTGTATGTTATATGTATTGTATATTCTTACAATAAAATAAGCTAGAGAAAAAAATGTTAAGAAAATCATAAGAAAGAGAAAATACATTTACAGTACTATATTTATTGGGGGGAAAATCCATGTATAAGTGAACCTAAACAGTTCAAACCAGTGTTATTCAAGGGTCAACTATAATAGTGTGAAATTTCACCTCTTTCCTGATACTGCTTGAGATGTTTTCTTATAGCATGAAACATTATAACCAATTTATTCTTAAATGCTTTCAAAGGCACCAGGAAGCATTTTTAACAAGTCATTCTGTTCATTGAGATGAATTCTGCAGTTAAGCATTTCTCCTGTGCATTCTTGTCCCTCCCACCCCACCCTACCCAAAAAAAAAGTTGTTGCTAACTATCTGTGCTTGCTTTTAATTTATTTTTTGTTTTGTTTTGCTTCTTGACTTCAAGTAGATGAATAACAAGATGCTTTTCCCTCCTCTAGAACATATCCTCCCCTGAGAGTTACCCTGCGAATAGGCCCGAGTCCCTGTCACCCGAGGTAGTTATCACACCATCTCAATCACACTTGGAGGCTGAGAGTGAGTGTGCATGAGTGTGTGGGAAGGGCTGGGGTATCCAAGTGAATGGGGTGATGGGCTGGAGGGTGGCCAGTTGGTCACTAAGGTGAATGAATCTTCCCATGTATGACTGGTTACTCAGAACTGTCAATGTAGGTGGAGGAAAATAAAGTAGCTATGGGGGGGGTTCTTTCTGTTGTTGTTTGGGGGAGGGAGTGGCTAAAGAGTTACTTTAAAAGAAGGGTAGTATCTAGAAGAAAAGTTTAAAGGAGGCTGAAGATGTAGGAGCCTTGTTAAAGTCTTAACAAATAATGTGTGTTTGTTAAATAAGAAAAGTTGAATCAAAAGTTGGTAGGAGCTCTTTTGATACTATCTTAGGCTGATAAAGGAGCAACTTGTTGGAAAAGTTAAGCAGTGATATATGCCTTTTTCCTGGATTAATATGAGAGCTCTGTTTAACTGCATGTTTGGGGTTTTGGTTGGTAGATTGAACAGCTTCTTTAAAACGGGACAGTTAAGCCTCTTGACTTTCTGTATTTTTGTAGCTCCTCATTGGGTACACAAGGAAACTACGCAGCCCATGGTTTCTGTGGCACAGGCCTCCATTCTGCAGTGGTTGGGATATGGTTGCCATACAAGTGGTATCTCTTAGGATATCAGTTGAGTGCTTTGCTCAGAAACCTGCTGCTCTGGAGATGTAAAATTCAGATTTTAGTGCTAGCATTTCTTAACTATTAGAAAATTTGGACAGAGGTAGTAATGAATAATTCCATGAATCCACATGGAGTCTTTTTCCTCTTGAAGAGAAAATTATAGTCCCTAATGACCTTTTAGAAATTAACTAAACTGTTAATCCCCCTCCTTCTAATAAAAAATTAGTATTAAACACATTGACGGTTGACCAAACTCTCAATTAGTAGGATTTTATAGATCAATGTGAATCTGAGAAAGGTTGTACTCCAGTGTACTAAAGGTTTTCTGGGTGGTTTTTGCTGTCTTAAGGAAAGTATAGTGTTCTCTCCTCAGGTGCTAAAGGCTCTAAGATAGCATATTTTGGAGGCTGACATGGTGTGGTATCTGGGTTTCTGGAACCATTCTTTCTAGAGTGAGTTAGTTGACCTAGTGGTGGAAAATCTTGGTGTTAGGAGGTAAAGATAACCAAACAGTAGATGGGGTTTATTTTTGATACATTTCAGCATTTCTGATACTCTGCAGTGAGGAGCGTTAGTGGTGCTGTGGTATGTTGACATAGATTAGAAGGTGAGGAAGAACTGAGTGGCCAGGAGGTTTTACGAGAAATATATCTGTTTAGTAGTGAAAGTGAATGGAGAGCTGGTTGGTTGATGTCTTTGATGCCTTTTTGCTTTACTGAACCAGTACCTTAAATACTTAACTTTCCATCTGCTTTCTACTTTCTTTCGACTTTTCCCTCCTTCCACCCTCCATCAATATTAACTTAGAAATGAATAACACCAGAAGCCAGTTATCTTAAGACACCAGCTGGTCTCACTGCTGTATCATACATGGGGCTCAGATAAATCCCAAATTATACTGCCAATCCCTTAATGTAGTGCAAGGTAATTCAGCAAACCTGATGAAAGGCTAAGCAGGCAAAGTAGTCACATTTGGCCAATTATCTAATTCTGATTTTTCCAGTATTCCCTTCCAGAAAGACTTGAAAGTAATTTGGGAAAGGTGGGGGTGGTTTAGTGATATGGCCTGTATACACTGTTGCTACATGGGACTCTTACAGATGTTAATGGCATTCTCTCTTCTGCTTCCATCCCTCTTGTCTTTGCTGTTCACTTGTGTCTCTCTTACCCCCTTCTTTTCTGCCCTTTGACTTTTTTCTTTCTTCCCTACCCCACGTCTCCATTGATTTTTATTCTTTCAGCTTTGCCACCGAAAAGACCTGGACTTGACAAAAGTAGGCTACCTTGACTCCAACACTAACAGCTGTGCTGACAGACCTTCCCTCATCAACTCGGCTCATTCTGACCTGACTCCTCATCCCTCCATCGGGCCCACCTCTGAGACTGGCTTTCCCAGCAGGAGTGGGGATGGACATCAGACCCTCATGAGAAACTCGGACCAGGCATTTCGGACAGAGTTTAACTTAATGTATGCCTATTCCCCATTGAACGCTATGCCTCGAGCAGATGGATTATATCGAGGGTCTCCCCTGGTAGGGGATAGGAAGCCTTTACATTTGGACGGGGGATATTGTTCCCCTGCAGAAGGGTTTCCCAGCAGATATGAACATGGTTTTATGAAAGATGTCTCTCGTGGATCCATGTCACCTGGTGGTGAAAGGGCTTGTGAAGGAGTCCCATCTGCCCCCCAGAACCCACCACAGAGGAAAAAGGTAAGTTTCACATGACACAGGCCCTTTTGAAGAGCACTAACAATAGATATTTATGAAGTTACTGCTATGTGTTCAGCACTGTTCTCAGTGTGAAGAAAACAAAGATAAGTAAGACATGCCATGTCCAATAAAAGTCAGGCTGTTTTAATACAATTTGATGAATGTTGTAAATAATTAGCATATTTAAATGCCTATCATGTATGTACAGCACACAGGCAGTTCAAAGACTAGAGCAGTGGATAAGAATATTATTGATTACTTGTATTACTTAGCACTCCCTATGTTCTAGGCACTGTTAAGCTCTTCTTATGCACTTAATCCTCAAAATAATCCTGTAGATAGGTAATTTCCCACTTTGCAGATGGCAAAATTAAGGCAAGTTGAGTGACTTGCACATGGTCACACAGCTAGTAAATGGAAGAGCCAGGACAGTACCCAGGTCTGTTTGATTCTAGATTGCGCGCTCTTATTGCCACCATGCTATATTGCCTCCTAGGTTCTGCCCTAATGGAGCTTATAGCAAGTGAAACTGAGTTTAGCAGATAATTATATTAATAAGTTATTAATTTTAATGGTGATGGATGCTCCAAAGGAGTTATTCAGATGTGGTTAGAACATCTTAACAGGAGAACCTGGCTAGTCAGATATGTGGACGGTGCTTTAAGAACAAACAAGACACCCAGCCGGCATTGCTAGTGGTTGAGCATTGACCTCTGATCCAGGAGATCGCAGTTCAGTTCCCTGTCAGGGCACTTGCCCGGGTTGTGGGCTCAGTCCCCAGTAGGGGGCATGCAGGGGGCAGCTGATCAATGATTCTCTCATCATTGATATTTCTCTCTCTTCCTCTCCCTTCCTCTCTCAAATCAATAAAGATTAAAAAAGAAAAAAAAGGTTTATCAAAAGAACAAACAAGAGGCTCTTAGCCAGTTTGAGGGGTGGTGGAGTGAGAGATGACAGGTCACCGATTTAGTTAATCTTAGACAAAAAGTAGAAATCCATCAGCCAGCAAATGGAGATGTTACAGAAGAGGGAGCAGAACAAGTAATTATGTGACACTCCATTGGATGGGCAGCAGGGATGTGATGTGATTGCAAACAGTTGAGTGTTGCTGTGGTGTCAGAGGAAGGGTGGGGGGAATAAGGAGAATAAAGAGAGATGAGCAAGGCCAAGCCATACAGAGCTTGGCTAGTGGTTTGGGACTTGGCTTTTAAGCAATGCATGTTCTAGAAATTATGAAGCCAAAAGTCTGCTTTTTATACCAGTGGTTTTCAACTAGGTGCACTTGTATATGCATGGGAGTATTTGAGGGTTGGCATAGCAACTTTTATTTATTGGGCAGGGCTAGAGAAGCTAAATATTATGTGTGTGTGATTCTCACATAATTGCAAAATATCTGTAGTACTCGTGGTAAAATGTAGCCTAGTGGCTTTTTTTACATTTACATTACAATAAAATACATTACCAAAAATCGTTATTATTAACTCCTTTCCCAGATTGTGTATGAAAAATGCGTATATAAAATTGTCTTATTTTGAGTTTTGTTATATTTTATATTGAGAGCCCTAACAGGATAATTTGGGATAAAACAGCAATGAATTTTGAAGACTGTTGCATGAACAGCATTGACTATCAGGAACAAAAATGGAAATAGTCTTTGGATTTCTGGTTTTATTATGTGCAAAAGTGATTGAAATCATGATTTATTTCAGAACTATTGCTGAGCACCTGCTATTGGCCAAGTTCTGTGCTGGATATTAAAGATTAAAAAAAAAACAAATAAACTTTGCCCTGTAGAACGTACAGTTTAGTGGAGAAACAAGCAAGATGTTTTAACAGGCTGCTAATGGTGTAAGCTCAATGCACTGTAACGCCACAGAGGAGGTTTGCCAAGCAGGGCAGGGAGAGGATTCTGTTGTAGCAATCAGAAAGAATGAGGCAGGTGATCGACGAGCTGGGGAGAAATTTCCAAGTATGTATAGGGTTAATAGAGCTGGCTTGCTAAAATAAGAACTGAAATTATTTCCTTTCTCCTTTTACATTAGTTTCTCTATGTGTAAGAAAGAAACACTAATGAATCTCGTGTATCTTGGAAAATTAAGCACATTTAAGAACCCTAAAGAATTGGCTTTTTCTTTTGTTTTGGGGTGTTTTACCTCTCTTTTTTTTTTAACAGCTATCTCTAGGGATTTCTAGGAAGTGAGAAAGAGCTATCAGAATCACCTGGGAGGCTTTTTCAAACTACATAAGCTCCCTTTTCTAGGAGCTACCATTGTTGCAGATAACTATGATAGCACGCTTCTGTTATGGGGTAACTGTAATCTCACAGGTTTTTTTTTTTGAAGGCAGAAAAAAGGTTGAAATCTACTGGTGAACACCAGTCTTCAAAAATGTTATCTCCTGGTGTCTTCTCTTCTCCTTCCCAATATCTGACTGATGTAAATAGGTAGCTGTGCTGAGATCTTTGTCACACCTGACAAAAAGTCGCCAATATTGGTGTCTGCTTTGTTTGCATGGCTTGCTAATGGTGTACTAGGGTTCATCTTTCCCCATTGCTACTGATCCACTACCAGTTTCTAGAGTCCTGTTTGTTACTTCCTTTGTAGGTATCCCTGCTGGAGTACCGCAAACGGAAACAGGAAGCCAAGGAGAATTCTGCTGGTGGGGGAGGTGACTCTGCACAGAGCAAAAGCAAATCTGCAGGAGCTGGGCAAGGCAGCAGTAACTCACTTTCTGACACTGGTGCCCATGGTGTGCAGGGATCCTCAGCCCGAACCCCATCTTCCCCTCACAAAAAGTTCTCCCCATCTCATTCCTCTTTGTCCCATTTGGAGGCGGTAAGCCCATCCGATTCCAGAGGCACTTCATCTCACTGCAGACCTCAAGAGAATATCAGCAGTAGGTGGTGAGTTGATATTTGATGCTTTAATAACTAAATGGATCATTCCCAGTTTTACCTAAAACATATGTGAACATTTACCTGAGAAAGCCAGACAACAGCTCCCTCTTTCCTGTTCAGCTGATTAAATAATATCAGCCAGAACCTCCCAGCCTTACAGAAGCAAACATTTGCTACCAATCCTGTGGGACACCACTTTGGACTGCATACAATTGTGGACACAGATAAGCTATATAGTATTTGCTGGGCCCTAACACTGCCTCTTCTATTTTCCTATTTTGTATGAAAGGTAATTTAGGAGTTCAGGTCAGTTCCACTTAAATTGACAACAGATGTCTCAATTCCACACAGCCAGCATATACAGAGAGAGAAGATGTATTCTGAAAGAATTTGTCTGGCTTAAGGGAGACCACACATAATACTGGTGGCAAGTACTGAGTATCAGATGAGCGAAATAGAAGAAGATGCAGTTCAGGGATCTTGAACGGAAGAAATGAAGCCTGCGAAAGAGATGGGGCTCAAACAAATAATGTTTATTAATCTATGAAACGTATTAAGTACTATGTGCCAGGCACATGACTTCACAGAAGAGAAAACTTAGCATTTCAAAGTGGGAGTTAAGCACACACTCCCTCTCAGGAGCATGTCCACATCTTTCCCCTCTGCCCCCAGGTGCATTACCTCTGCCTTTCTCCTAAGTTCCATGGGCCCTTCTTTTGCCTCTGTAACTTGTTCCCTGAGCCCATTTCTTCTGTGGCTCACTTTTACTACTTCTGTAACTAAACTTTCTCTTATAATTTGGGGTGGAGATGGAGGTTTAAAAAAGTAGACATCTTTAAATTTACTTTTTCCTTCATTGCTTTTTCTTTAAAAGTGTTTTTTCTTTTGTGCCTAACATAGTTTGAGGCAGAGAAAATAACCTCGTTTTAAATTGATCCTGAAGAAAATAATGTCTAAGAAGGTGTGTTTAAGAGAATATGTTGTACAATCTTTGTCAGAGATTCAGTTGTTCCACCCTCTTGGTTCAGAAACCCTGTGGCATAAACTTGCACCCTGTTGCCTTCACAGGATGGTTCCCACATCAGTAGAACGACTCCGAGAAGGAGGAAGCATCCCCAAAGTCCTCCGAAGCAGTGTGAGGGTGGCCCAAAAAGGAGAGCCTTCTCCCACGTGGGAGAGTAACATCACAGAGAAAGACTCAGGTAAACCTATGGCTTTGTGCTGTCTACCAGGTTCGGGGGCATGTGACCCAGGCTCCACACATTTTACAACAGATACTAGGCTGAGGTGAGTCAGCTTCTTATGTGGTTGGGCTTCATTGTTTGCAAGGTTCCAGCTTAGTTTGCTTTTACTCTTTTGGGCTAAAGCATTCTTAAGATCTAGCATTGCTTTTTCTCTGTGTGCTCTTTTTTCCCCAAGGAATACTTTTTTGTAACTCATCTCTCCAACGGTCTGAAATCCACCTTGTTGAAGGATGAAGAGAAAGGAGACAGGAAACAGATCAGGCATTTAAGACATAGCCCATAATTAACCACTCCTTTTGCCCTTCTGGCGTGCTGCACTCACGTGATTTGTCAGAAAGAGAGCAGCGTGGGTTAGTGATGGCATTAGTGATTGGAATAAACAGTGGCTATTTCTCACTTCTTCTAAGAAGCCAAGTTGATTTTGTATTATATTCCAGACCCCGCAGATGGAGAAGGCCCAGAGACACTGAGCTTAGCACTCTCAAAAGGAGCAGCCGTTTACAGCCCTTCCCGATACAGCTACCAGGTGAGACAAGAAATTGCTCATCTATGGGCATTGGAGTGTGTTCTGGGTTCCAAATGTTTTGAGATGTCATCTTTGCATATAGTTTCAGCAGCCTTAGAAATAAGCCATCGTCTACTCACCTTCAGGTAATCAATCATGCTAGAAAAATAAAGTGATCAGAAATAGCCATTTTACTGTCTTTGGTATTCTAAAAAGAACAAATGATTAAGCAAATAAAGAAAAAGTAGGGTGTTTTAAATATTCACAAACCTAAACAGCTTAAATAGGGACTTTTTCACCACTTTATGCTTTTCTTCTCAACTCTTTCTAGCTCCTGCAGTGTGATAGTCCACGGACAGAATCACAAAGCCTCCTTCAACAAAGTTCCTCCCCCTTTCGAGGACATCCAACCCAATCTCCAGGATACAGTTACCGAACTACTGCACTGAGACCTGGAAATCCCCCCTCTCACGGTTCTTCAGAATCTTCCCTCTCTTCTACGTCCTATTCCAGCCCCGCCCACCCTGTGTCCACAGACTCATTGGCTTCATTTACGGGGACACCAGGGTATTATAGCAGCCAGCCACATTCTGGAAACAGCACGGGCAGCAATCTTCCAAGGAGGAGCTGCCCTTCTAGCGCTGCTAGCCCTACCCCGCAGGGCCCCTCAGACTCACCGACCTCAGACTCGGTTTCCCAATCCAGCACAGGAACTCTGAGTTCCACCTCCTTTCCTCAGAACTCTAGGTCGTCATTGCCATCAGACTTACGGACTATCAGTCTGCCCAGTGCTGGGCAGTCCACTGCCTACCAGGCCTCCAGGGTATCTGCGGTTTCCAATTCACAGCATTACCCGCACCGTGGGAGTGGGGGTGTGCACCAGTACCGACTCCAGCCGTTGCAAGGGTCGGGAGTCAAGACTCAGACAGGACTTTCCTAGGGCTTCTGGATTTGGGCAAACAAAACTGAATGAGCCCATAGCTGCTTCCTTCCAGCTGCCTCTGGAACCTAGGCCAAGCAGATTGCTGGGGAAGGGGGTACAAGGTGCCAGAGGATTGGGTCTGGTCGACAAGAAACAAGACTTGTGGTCACAGCTGGCTCTGGCCTTGGAGAAAGATGTAAATCTTGTCTGAAGCAGAGACTATAAAGAAGTTTCTCCCTGCTGTTAAGGGTACATTGTTGACAAGCAAATGGTGTTTCGGTTAGTAACGGTTCTAAGTGCAATGAGTTGTGTTGAAGCCTCCGTCTCCCATCCTTGCCTGTAGCCTGTAGTCACTTGTGCAGTGAGGACATCTTTTTAAAATCCAAAAAAAAAAAAAAAAAAAGTTTTCTTTTCAAAGGGAAAAAACAAACATGAAAACAGCCAATCTCAAAGCCCCAAGCCATCTGAGTAGTGTTAGGGTTTTATGCACTTAAGAAAAAAGGTAGGTATATAAATGTTCACCGTAAGACAACCATTCCAAAAGCAGATATCCAGCTAAGATGTGTCCACCAAGAATGTTCCCTACCTTTGTCTTTGAATCACTGAGAAATAGGCAGGGATAGTGAAGCTTGGAATGTGCTCTGACTAAGGGGTGCCTGGCTCTCTGAAGAAAAGCTTGTGGTCAACTCTTGATTATTCAGGAGCAGATTAACCTAGTAGATTGTCTGAGCCCCCATCTGTTACCATCCCACTCCCCTTCCCCAAGCTATTTCACAGCTCAGTAACCCTTGAAGTAGGTAGGTAAAGAGTGAGATGGGCCACTTGCTACTTAACAGCTGTTGGCAATAAATTTGATTAGGAAGGATCCCAGGTGGTTTGGGAATTCTTTGAATTTTATTTTTTCTACTCCCAATTAATCAGGAGTTGATGATCCCATGAGTAGGACCGCCTCCATGATTGGGGAGCATGCACTCGTGACTGCAGGGTAAGAGTGGAAAGATGTGTGGAGTGGTGCCGACAGGACTGTGATTGTGTGTGGGCGTGTTCCACATTTCTTTGGGGGATGCTTATTTGAGAGTGGCATGGGTGAGACAGTGAGAAAGCCACCCACACACCTAACACTGTTCTGGATGAGAGACAAGAGCAGACTGGCTTCTCCCCATCAGTGCATTGTGCCTGTTGTACACCCCTGGAGGAGCCCTGGAGCCAGCCCAGGTGGGGTACACAATCTTTTTAAATTCCATACGGTTGCCAGCTTATTTCTTTCACTTGTTTACTGTAATATCCGGCGTGTTTTTATTTATCTAATTTTGTATTCAGTTATAACCATGGTAGGGGTAGCAGATCTATGACAGGTGTAATCCCTGGTGCTGCAGTGGACCTTACTTCTTTTCTTTTGGACAAGATAATACTGTGAGTCTCCCTCCTTCCTTCCCTCCAGTTTTCTTTTTTCCCCCACCTCTTGCATCCCCTTCCTTCTACCTTTCCTACAACTATCATATGCACAGTCTTCTCTCTTTGTGTGTGACTGTTACAAAATTTCACTTTTTCAAAATTGAAATCAGGTGTTTGCTCAAATGAGGGGAGATTTTTTTTTCTTTTTTCTTTTTTTTAATGCTGAGACCTCAGCAGAATACTTTTCTTTTTGTTGTTTCCCCCACAAACCCATCAGTCTGGGAGAGCCTTGGGAGTGGAAATCATGTTGCCTGGGATGCTGGTTTCTTTGTATATTATATAAAACGTATGTAAATGTCTCTCCATTTGGGCTGGGGTTTGCATTCTCCCCTTGGCTGTTAACCGAGGGGAGAGGCCAGCAGGCAGGCGGCCCTCACCCTGCCTGGCACGTGCAGAGACCCCA